CATGCATAGGGCTTCGAATGCACACTGTTGAGAAATCCCAAAACGTATATATCTGACGAATGGTAATAAGCATAGAACCTTTATAGTAGGATTCTTACTGATCACAAATCAAGATTGAACAAAAATATCTTAGAATGTTGAACTTACGTATAACACTATAAGTTGAGTTGAAATCGATAGGCACGTCTTGAGTTTTGCACTAACCAACTTTGGTAACAATTCAGTAAAAGGCTTCTATAATCAGGAATTTTATATCGTCTAAACACCCATTTTAAATAATATACTTATCATGAACCATAAAAATATTGTTAGGATAAAGGAAATGAGGTATTATATAATGAAGTAAACTCAGATTTGAGATATTTCCTTAAATCAATGATTAGAGCGGAAATGTAAAAATCTGGAGACCGTTTTACATTTTGCGAAAAAACATCATTCTATCGTCAAGTAGTAACGTAGCATTTAGATCCTTTTTTCATATTTCTTTGTACATGAAACTATTCATTAATTGTACCTTTCGCTTCCTATTTAAAATAGAATAATTTAAAGCAAAAATAAATCTATGCCAGTTATCTCCAGTTTGAATGTAATTAAACATAATAAGTGCTTCTCAACTACTCATAAGTAGCCAGTCGTATTAAGTATAAATTTTGAACTGGTGTCATAGCTTGATAAAAACGTGATCTGTGAGGTGTCACGTACATGTATTCACGAGAAACTTGAGAAAGATAAAATAAGATAAAAAAAAATAGACAAACTCTTAAAGGCTAGCAAAACATATAGTTTATCTTGATTGGCGTTTAATTTTTTTCATCATGAGTTAGGGACACGTGTTCCACAAATCAGGATTTCTGCCGAACATCTCGTACAGTACAGTAGAAACTTTCATAACAATTTATTCAGGTAGTTAAGTAATCTGCAACTCCTAATAAATAAATATGCTAGTAAATCAGATGAAAGTTACACAAACGTTGTAGATATCGAAATTCCGAAATAAAGTAGAGATAAAAATTATTATTTATCGTATAACAGCCATTCTAACACCTTATTAGGTACCTCTGACATTATGTACCAGTGAAATCATGGTGATCAAGTAGATTGACTCGGCTGAAAAATATATATTAGGAGGAATAGAGAATTCGAATCTCATGAAAATGCTGAATTTAAATACTACTGGTAAAGAGGACTTTAATGTATAAAACTGGATGTATTCGATTTATGCTTGCTCATATAGATTAAGAAAAATCGCAAGAATATTATTCTTATATAATAAATTAAATCTGCATGTTGATTACCCATTCATAATCTCTCCAGCCAGTTTAAAAAATTAACGGTTTAGCTGAACCAATCTTTCATGTTTCATGTTTTAATGGGTATAGTCTGTTTACTTAGAACAAACTATTGACAGCTGCTCGAAATCGAAAGTTCCATCTAACTTGGTGGATCGATTAACTGATATCATTGTTCAGAATAAAACAGTACATTTCTCTAATATGATGAGGTCTTTGTCTACAATTGCACCTCAATATGTAACTGATTAATTGTTCAATAACTTTTAGTTTTCAAAAGTTTTGCAGATTGACAGCTGTTATTATGCACTGACTATGTATAGTTCATTTATAAGATTAATTCTGTGGCTACAGATAATCCTTCGACACCATTACTAATTTACACGTTTAGGTCAACTGTTGTAAATTTAACTGACAAATAATTTTGTATTGTGTATTAGTATTGTAGTTTTCTTGGCTTATTTCAAAATTGAAATCAAAGTCAGTTTACTAGGTGTTGATTTGATGATTACGAATTATGCAATTGTATTAGAAATAAAAGCTCAATAGCATAACGCTGCTTAATTTTGACTAATCGATTAGAGTAACTGATGCAGTTCCCTTCTAAATGTTCCTCAACATAAAAACATAAATGATAGAATAATTTACCAGTAAACACTAATCGAAATCTATTTTTTTCAATACAAATTTTAAAGCTCTGCAAATATACTATGACGAGAAAAAAAACGAACCTATAAGGTCAGTAATGTATTATTATAAAAGTATCAATGTCTAGACCAATTATATTTCTCATCAGTCTGAAAATAAATAATGGCAGAGTATAAATGAATTAATTACTAACATACTGTATAAGTTTATGATATTTTCAAATCATAATAATAATAATAATAATATTACCATTCTTCTTATCTGATGATAAATGAGAAAAAATTACATTATAATTAACATAAATTTATTTAATCAATAATTAATGCAATGCTGCGATTACATTAAGTTATTAGGAAATCTATATTAACACTTACATGAAATAGTAAGCTATGGTTATATATATATATATATATATATATATATATATATATATATATATATATATATATATATATATATATGATTCATCGCGGCCTCTATAAGTTGATTATATGAAGAAAACATATCGACCTTGAGTTGTTTTAATAAGTAAGTTTATGAAGACTACCTAATCCTGTCATTTCCATCACTGATCGACTTTAGGTATACAGTCATTATACAACTGAAGAGGTTCATATAAGATTGAAATAGCTACTCAGTGTTTCTTGATTTACAGTCATTATCTCAATAATGAATGCTATCAACTGTGGCTACTTATTTTAATTGTAGTCATACAGAGTAAATGGTTCACTGTTTTTCGTATAAGTTCTGACCTGATAAACCGATTCAGATTATTTAAAATGTGTAAATCAAAGCATACAAGATCAAAATATTTTGATTAATGTTGAATTTCAGTTAGAATCTTTAGATAAAAGAAGTTTTAGATCGGGCTGAATAGCGTAGAACCAGAATTACTACCATGATGATGAGCTACAATGACTTTGTTCAAATAAAGACTTAATTTCTCAAGCAAAAGTGCAAAACATTGTAGCTATTCAGCAGACGAACATTCATTGAGTTTCAGCAGAAATGTTATGCATTCACATGTTGTTTTGTCAATTGTCTAGTCCTACATGATGGACGAAGTGTCAATCCAATGAAAGCATTTGAACTGAATAGTTTCCTCTTAACTAATTTCATTTTCTATTTTCTTCCGTGTACTGATAATTATTTATTGATCTCTTAATTATTCATTCGCTAATTTTAGTTCTTTTACCATGTAAATTACTTTTCGATATTCATCTCAATTAAATAATTTCTAAATAAGCTGCAATATTAAAGCTCATTATTTGTGTTTTTTATTTAATAACATTGTAATATTTACTACTAATCTTTGGGAAAAGAGAGAGAATTAAACAGCTAAGCGTTAGGATTGCAATTCTTAGCCATTTACTAGTAAACACGCAACACTGATAACAACATATTTGGGAAATAATTACATAATACATGCAAATTCATGAGCATGATCAAGTTGATTTAGTCAGCAATGTTACGTGCAACGTAAAACAAAAAAAAATAGATTATTTCAAGTTGTTTGAAAAAATATTAGTTTAGCAAATTTTTTTTCTCACATGCATCACTGAAGGGCAATTAATTTTTTGAAGGAGGACAAAACAAAATATCATAATAAACTATTTTTATTCATCCAAAAAGTAGAGGAAAACATGGAACAGAGACAACAAAAAGGAAACCGTTAAAAATTACCGTCATAGATTTGTTGTAATGCACATGCTAATTGACTTGATTATCTTCTGATTGGCGTAGATATTATTTTAAAAAGTTTGATTTACCAAGGAAGAAATATCTACAGGGAAAAAAGTCTAGTTAGTATAACCCAGTAACAACAACAATGATTAGGCATTTTATTTATATCTTCATAATTTTAAACTAGAGGGCATGGGACAAAGTGAAGGATGACAGCACATTTAAGGTAGGGATAGATAGATGTGCAGTAAACATCGATACCATGCACGAATGATGACAGTGACCTTATTTCAGGGATAGAGTGTGACTAATCATTCCAGTCTTAAAAAATTTACTGTCAAATAATTCATATAGAAAGAAAAAATTTCCAATGAAACGGTTATACTGATGATACAGAGTTACAGATGTTATAACCAGATGTTTCAATATATTAAACTGCATTAGTGAATGCAACACATAGTTTACTATGTATTTCAAATGAAAAAGGTTAAATTTAGTTTAGGATTTCACTTACATAAAGATACAAACACCAGCTTATTGCATCTCGATTTGTACTTGAAGGTACAATCATAAATTAACAATGAACAACAAAAACTATAAAAGATTGTAGAAATGCTAAACTCTAGTAGTAAAAACATAAACTTTGAACAATAAACTACGTGAAAAGGTTGCGAGGTATATTTATATATGACCAAGAATTAATTCACACCTGAAAGTTATGAGAAGGACGAAATATGAGAGTACTTGAGTTGGAAGTGAACCATTGAACGAAAATTTGTTTTTACGGTTATTTGTATGTATCAGTTTTATGATGACCGCTTTCTCAGCGAAATAATCTCAACTAACAACTGAAACAAACAACCAACATAGATAGTGGAAAAGTAGGTCATTTTAATTTCAAACAAGTGATAACTGCAATTAACAACACTAACTATTATGTTAATTTATTCAATGTTCACTTGTAATGAGCAAATGATGGCAAAGTTCATTTCATGTTAAGTGATCACTCTGGCAATCATCATACCAGTTTCATTTCATTAACGTCATCATCATCATCATTATGATTAGTTTTCTTGCCTCCATTTTGAAATTCTATTGGTCATTTAATTTGAAACGAGTGAAGCTTGTTCGTGAGTGAAGGAACATGATATTACATTGGAAATGAATAACCCAGTCAATTGCAAATAAGTGATGATCAATTGTTTTAAGCGAGATGAATTGTTGGATAAGCAGCTTAACAAAATGATATATTTAATTCTTAATGTTCTATAGGATAAAACATTTGATGACATTGAAAAAAATATTTTTTTTTTTGACATAGAACACTGGTGGACAATTTACATACTTTTTTATCGTTTTGTTATTAAAATCTGAACTGAAATGAACAGGTGTAAAATATTGGCTTTCACGTTGGTTACAGTCACCATTATTTACATTTCATCCATATGGATTAGAAACCGATTACATAATAGTTTCGGTGATCGGAATGAGGGCGATGATCATTTAGATCACGAACAGATTATGTGGAAATTACAGAATACACAATACGATTTTATTATAGGTAAGTGTTTCATAATACAATTGACTAATTTGTCGTGTACATTTACTCAAGCAATGACAGTTCTTGTCAAGTTATTTTTTTATTAAGTTCAGAATGATTAATACCAGTTCAAAAAGAGCTCAGAATCTTGATTTGTCGAATAAATAGATTTCATAAATTACGAGTAAATCAGAATTCTAGGTGATAAGTATTTTACTATAAATAATACGTTTGTTAGAAGATCTGATAAACTAGTAGAACTGTTCAATATTCAATATTAAGTAAGTTTAAATTTCCGGATTTTTCGTTAAAAACATTCTTATGAAAGATGTCCTTCGTTGTCCATGAAACCGAAGACACTTTCTTCTCGTTGATTCAAATATTTACATCAAATAGATGCTCTGTGATTAGATATTGCCTATTTCGTTAAAATATGTGAACAAACTATGCTAAGTTTATTATTATTTAGTGCACACTAAAAATTGTGTTCATAGAATCAGTAAGTTTCGACTTTCTGGATTTTATAAAGCAGTTATGAACCCACTTCAAGTCATCATCATTTAAGGGAATAAAACAGACAATCATGTTTTATTTGTACGATTTTGGCTTTAAACGAAAACAACATTTAATTATTACATGAAATCTACCATCTTGCATAACTTCTTACTACAAGATGTAGAGTTTTTCTTTTAGAGGACTTCATAAAACGTGAGGACCTATCAGTCCTTTCGAGTCAGTAACAGGAAAACTCAGTTCTCAGCCATCGATATTAGGTTCCTCTAAGAAACTTGAATGTACTAACACTTCATTCGGAGCATCTGTTTTTTGTGTGTTAAATCCTGCACTTTAAACAAAATAACTTTGGAGTGTTTTTAAGTTTTCTCATGTGCAACAAAAACTACCTAAAGTATTACTGACAATATTTGATAGGAGGAGGATATGTTATAGACGTATAGTTTAAGCAGATATAAGTTCACACAGCTTGAATCCATTTGAAATCATGGATACGGAGTACTAGCAAATGAACCATTTTGTAATGCATCATGATTCTCAACTATTTCCTAGTTTTTAATCGTTCAAATGTGATTATGAATAATAAAGTAATATTTTCAGTTGTCAATTACTTATTTTTCAATGTTTGATTGACGGGGTTTACAACTTTGGTAAGTTAATTAGCCAGGAAATAAAAAAATTTAGTCGGCCATATATTTTTACTACATTTTCATTGATTCGTTTAGTTGGAGGCGGTACAGCTGGTTCAATTATTGTTCGAAAATTATGGGATGGATTTCAAAAAATCCAATGTAACTCACCAGAGAAGACTAGTTCACGTTCATCATTGGGAGTGACTGTCAATCAAAAACTGTACGGTATCAGGGCTAATAAGAATACGTGTAAAATTGCCTGCTCCAATTATCGACCGAAAATTTTGTTACTCGAATCTGGACCAAAAATCAGTTGGTTAACGAAGACAATCAGTGATATACCCCTTCTTTCTCCATTATTGTATGGGCAAGGAATTGATGTTGTTGATCAAACTACGTCTCAAATATCATCTGCCTTAAAGTTAAAAGAAAATGTAATTGATTTTGTGAAGCTTTTGATCTGATTGCTTGTAATATTCCCAATGATTAACTAGTCTTTGTTCATGAGGATAAGTGGAGAATGCTGAATACGCTTAGTGAATATTCAGTTCGTTCAGTGTTTAGTGACGCAAAATGCTCATTGGTACAATGAATCAAACCGTCAACTTCTAGAAACTGGCTGCTATTATAGTTTATTTAAGTTTGTAGGTTTAACTGTCTGATATTTTATCGTTTTGGTTTAATCACACAGTGGTTGAATTGCAAGGGTTACTTCAATTTACTGTAGTTATGTAACATAATATATCGACCAAAGTATTTTGGAGTTTCGGTTTATTTTGAATGGGCTGAATGTTTTCACTTTGTTTTGAACTTTCAAGACAAATATGCCGATATCTCAGTCGTATTACCTTTATTGAGTACACGCTGTGCCTATATATGCATCGGAGATAGAAGCGATAAGTCGTTGATTTGAGTCTGAATGCAAACAACAATACTAGATTGCAGATAGATCCAGATTTATATCTTACAACAGTAAGAATAACAATAGAAATTCGAATCTCATTTGATTCGGCTATGAACATAATGAATATTTTCTTCTGTGTGTTAAGTCTTCTCTATTCTTGATAAGAACTTATGCATTTGAAATAAAAAACATGATTTTGTAAAATCGATAATGGCTCATTCCATTGTTCATAAGTTACCAGTAGAAATAATGAAAAATCGTTGAATACTGATGACTAAAATTAAGCGAATTCAGTTTCATATTTTTTATGAGTCGATAATAAACAATATGTATCATGGTCAGTGAAACACTGAGTGCATAATTCAAACCACATTTAAATACCTTGATTGAAATTATGAACCGAGTTGATTAAAGTAGTCATTCAAAGCCTGGAAGTAATGGACGCTCGTTTCGTCTTGGTATGGGACTCCCTAACAGTGCGTACCCACAATGTTGCTACAAGGAACCCAGCTGAGGTTCTTTAGTCTGCCGTTCAAACACCTAGCTTACAGACCGTTGAGCCGGGACACAATAGTGTATGAGTATAACTTTAACGAGCGATTTGTTAGGAACTACATATATTATTTCGTTAAGCTGCTTAAAATGAAATTTTATCCAACAATACATCTCGCTTAAAACTATTGATCATCACTTATTCGCAATTGACTGGGTTATTCATTTCGAATATATAATATCATGTTCCTTCATTCAACAACAAAAGTCACTCATTCAAATTAGATGACCAATAGAATTTCAAAATGGAGGCAAGAAAACTAATCATAATGATGATGATGATGACGTTAATGAAATGAAACTGGTATGATGATTGCCAGAGTGATCACTTAACATGAAATGAACTTTGCCATCATTTGCTCATTACAAGTGAACATTGAATAAATTAACATAATAGTTAGTGTTGTTAATTGCAGTTATCACTTGTTTGAAATTAAAATGACCTACTTTTCCACTATCTATGTTGGTTGTTTGTTTCAGTTGTTAGTTGAGATTATTTCACTATGAAAGTGGTCATCATAACGATTCGATATCGATTAAGAGAGCGTAAGCGCGATAAGAAAATGTGGAGCATTATATTTGTATTCTGCGTTAACGTACTTTATTTGAAGTTTATAGAAATGAGACTTATTTCTTTTCCGTTTATTTTAATAATACATGAAAGATTAACGATATATTTTGTTTATCATAATTATGTATAGGTGATTCTTATACCGCGTGGGCATGTTTTGGGCGGTACTGCACTACTCAATGCAATGATATTCTCTTATGGTCATCCAAACGATGAACTATTGAACGGATTTCTACATACAAATAAAGAATTTCTATCTGAATTATTCGATCATAAAACGGGAGGTTTGTTCAATACTTTCGTTCTTCCAATAATAATAATAATAATAATAATAATGACAATAACGATAATAATATTCACAACAATGTAAATCTGAACCATTTTTATAAACCTACGAGCAAAAAGTAAACGAGAATGGGGACAATTTAATTTTAAAGAAATAAAACTATAAGTTAATACTACAGTAAATAAAAAGGATCCAACAAGCTCCTTTTTATACTCACATCTAAGGTGGATAACTAAAGCTGGTAGAATAAAACGTTCATTAAGATATTCATCCCTTAGCATGTTTAATTGAATTTTTTGAATGATAAACGACAAGTTGATTATCTTCTGCTTTGTCAATCACTGCCAACTCATACAAAATTTAGATACTTACTTAATTATTTAAACAAAGTTAGATTAACTTTTTTTATTTTGTTCCAACCATCTAACATCAAGATTTTAATAAAATTTGGTAATTGATGGTTACTCATAGTTTGGTCATAAACTAAAAAAAAATCTATTCTATTCAAAATAAGTTTCTGATATAAATATGATGACAAATAATCCTTTGGTTCACTATAAAATTAAATTAAAGTGGAAAGTAGACAAATGTCAAATAGGTTTGTACTGGATAATGATTGAATTTATTCAAGTTTTAGGTTTTTTTGGTAAAACATTAAAAAGCCATATGAATAGTTGATCTGATTGATTAACAAATTGAACAAACGAACATTAGATATTTTCAGTTCATGTTAGTACGTTGCACCTAGCAAAGAAAAAGCCATAAACCTAATTTCCATAAAACCTAATACTTGAAAACAAGGTATTTTGTGAATTTGAATTAGATATAACTTCTCAAATAGATTCAAATCTATGTTATTTGGTATTACCTTTGGGAACATTATCACTGAAATCCGTTTGTCTTGATTGGCTACTATTAGCTAGAACGTTGTGGAAGTATGCTTCATTTTGCTTGAATTCAGATTAAATAAGTAAATCCAATTTAGATCGTAAAGTTATCAGTAATTTTTAACGGTAAAACTTCATTCTAACCCATAAAACGTATAATTCAGTTCATAACTAAGTATAACTTATTACTTAGATGTAAGATTTGTAGAGGTCTACATTTAAGTTGGGTATCGCCATTGATGGATACCGTTTGGGGAAATTTTAAAACTATTTATCAACAAACATATGTCCTATTCCCATTTTTATGTTAAGCGAACTTTACGTAAGTAATGAGAAAGGTACTCAACAAGGGTAACAGATGGAGCCATACTGTTCATAATTGACTAGAGATGGAATTATTAAACCTGATATGGAACCTGAAGGCCTCAAGTTAAACCCCCGATGAATTCGTGGGTCTGAACTAATATGAAGTGACTTACTAGGCAGCAATTAATAGTTCACATATTCTTCTGTGACAAAACGCAGTTTTAAGTTTTTGATCAATGGTCATTCAAGTAATACTATATTCTCTAAAACAATAATTTTCTTCCATACAATTTCTTTTAAAGAATGCAATCTGAAACCTGAAACGGTTCAACATTTACCATATAATCAATTAATTCATGAATATTTTACAAAAGCTTTTGAATTACAAGGATTAAAAGTGAATTTCAGTCAAACAGGTCATTCATTTGAAGGTTTGACTATTCCAATGGGTAAGTGATTATTATTGAAAATTCAATTTATTCATCAAATGTCGTTTTGCTTGAATACCAATAAGTGGTTGCCAGGCATTGCAAAATATAAACTATGAGGTAGAAATAAAGATACTTAGGGGCGTGTTAATTCCTTACAGAATCATAAGGATTTGTCCTTGCTAACTAAGAAAATCTCTGTGTTTTTTCTTCAAGTCTCTTGAAGCATATTTATCGCAAAACGACAAGATATTGTTTCTGTACAAGCATTATTAATGCCAGATAAAATTTATAGCGATAGATTACAATGTTATTCGAGATATGATGTAATGTAGCAACTAGTTTCGATTGCATGATCATGCAACAGCGATAGATTACAGTGTTATTCAAGGTATGACGTAAGGCAGCAACTAGTTTCAATTGCTTGATCATGCAAACGCCAAATTTTATTTCATAAAGAAATAATTAAAGGCATCAATGTATCTGAGTTAATGTCATAACACTACTGAAATGTTTACAAGGAATGATTACAGCTTAGAATAATTTCTCAAAATGATTAGAAGTATAATTAAGTAAATAGAATTAGGTAACAATAAGCTTTTACCATTTTAATTCTAGTTATCAGTATCCATCATTTTTACTGAAATCATAAATTTATCGTTTAGTGAAAATAGGTTTAAACTGAGGGTAAATTTGATTGTATTTATTGATTCTGTGTTTGTTCGAATTTTCCAAGTCTCTTGTAAATTTGTTTAAAAAAAACTATGAAATTACGTCAAAACGATATTTATTTAACCGTTGTTCATTTAAAGTATACTTGTTGTTTGACTTTGTATGCGATTTATTGATTAACTGTACATTTTTATGAGATCGTAAGCGTTCGGTTGACCTAAATCATTTGCACGAAATGTCAAAGATATCAGTTAAAATTGTTATTATCCCTCTGGTCAGATATTTTTCATACAGGTGAAATGTCTCGTTTAGATGGTTAAAATAAGGCACAAAATGTGTTACGAACCACGCTGAATAGGATCATGAAAATTAAAGATACCTAAGTGTCAACAAAAACCCATTTCCTATCTGTTAAGTATTCAAGGGGGAAGTGAGATTTTAGCAATTATAGGTCGAATAACAAAAATGGAACAAAACAGGTGAACTTCATAAATAGCAGCTTCTCATTAAATTTCAAGGAATCACCCGTAAAGACTAGTCACCAGTAAGTAGATGATGATTCTTATCATAGAATGTTATGAAGGGCAACAGATTTTGTTACGTGCTGATTGCAGCTAAACGGTCATTGAAAACCGTGATGTGATATATAGTTGACTCTTCTGTGCACGAGGTTTGTCAGAAATGTCCATCCAACATCATACCATGGATTTGAACAATAACTTCCAGATGTCTCAGCAATGGTTTAACCGGGTTTAGACGACTGCGTCAGGATCTAAAGATATAGGTGTCTAACCTCAGTCATGACCATTATTCGATTTCAGTGTTCGGTATTTGCTTGATTCACGATAAGTTTGTTTGATAACTGACATATAGTAACTGTGACCTCACCTGTACATTTCATCAGCATATGAAGAACACTGATCCTAACTAATGTACCTAATATGTCTTCCTCATTTTTTTACGTTTTTATGTGTTATCAATAAAGGGTTGAATAGACTGTTGAGCTATATTGAAGTCATGAATCTACCGGTGCTAGACTACCATTAGAAACCTGGAAGCACCAGGGGTCTTTTTCGTCCTGGCATCAGAGATTTATCAGCAATGCTTATCCGCAACTCCCGCCACCCGCAGGAATCGAACCCAAAATCTTAGGTCTTGCATGAGGACGCCTAACCTCTGGATTCATAGCAGGACAAAAGGGCCGTTTAATGCTTCCATGTTTCTAATAATGGTCTAACACTGATCGATTCATGATTTCAAAGTAACTGTGTTATCAGACAAACATGTCATGAGGGCAGAACTGCCACAACTTTTACGGTTATAAATCAATAAACGTTAACTATTTTCGAATACATGTAGATTTTAAATGATGACAGTGAGGAAGATGTAATCTAAGTGAAATACATTTTAATCTTTTCAATACTGAAGATTATCGCACAGTGTGTCGAAACTTCTTTTATTGAGCAAAATGATAAATATTATTATTTAGTATTAATCAATCATTACCTTATAATATTTTTTTCTAGTTTTTGTTCGTAATGCTCAACGTATGAGTTCATATAGTGAATGCCTTCTACCTTTGATCAAAAGGAAGTTCATTGATTTAACAATTGCCACTGAAATACAGGTTGAAAAGGTAACATTTTTTTAATAGTTGTTCACTAGTTTTTCTTTGTATCATTAAAACGATGATAAAAATTCATGAATTTAAAAAAAAAGCACCTCAAAATACTATCAGTCTATTCAATACAAAAAATCCAATTCATGTTTTATAAACATTGATAACTTTAAACTTATTTGAACTATGAATAGCTGAGAATGCGTATATACTAGTCAAGACTAAACAGTTAAACTGTTTAATACTAGTCACACGATGATGCACATTTCCGCAAATAAATGCATAACGTTGAAAGAATCGCAGGAAATCATTATATCCTCTGTTATCTTCTAGAGTCCATTAATTTATAGATTCAGATTCAGTAAACAATCTTAATTTGTGCCCTTAGATATCTTATCATTCATATGAAGTATGGTATATTATATTAAGTACAATAAAGTTTCAAGCCTTTTTCCTAGTTTTATTTAAAAACTGAGTCATTAAATGATATGAAACAGTGGATAATAGCTTTCTTTGTAATTTAGAATACAGCATAGGGACATTTTGATTTAATAATGAGTGTTGTATAAGTGTCACAGTTTATCACACAGTTTTAGCTAAACCACCAATGAGAACATGGAAGCCATAGACTGCTGTTTTATTCTCTTATGAGACATCTCAGTAGTGTGCATTTACAGCCCTTCAACCGGGAATCGAACCTAGGATCATTGCTTTCTCAAGCGAACCCTTAAACTTCAAACCGATAAAGTGGCTTCGAGTGATATTGTTATCTTGCTTCTAGATAGACATCCTATCATTCTAGCGGTAATTCATGATTTATTTAGCCAACAAAGTTAGGATTGGGATAACAGCTCATTGATGACATTCAATGTGAATCACATACGACAACAAATGACTGGTGATGAAAATATACACTTTGCTGAATTACAAATAAATGATTTTTCGATGCTTTAGTCTACTCAAGATACGACGATTATCAATGCACAATTGTGACGAACTTAAAACTGAGACCAAACTGATGTGTAGTGGTACTTGTTTTTACTGTTTTAGAAAATGACGTTAGTGACAAAATGATCTAGAAATGATATGGGTTTTTTTCAAGACAAGATTTATCTAAAAAAAAACACTGGAAAACAATCAAAAACTTATCATATGAAAAGGGACAAAATCGATTTGACTAATATGCTATAGTAATTATCGTTTGCGAAAAATGTTAGATTTGTTATTTGTAATACTATCTAAGTTTTAAGGAGTTCTTTAAGTTATTATACTACATAAAAGTATTTTAATGAGCGTACGAGTGATTTTGTACGGCACATTTCTCGTTATAAGTATAGCTTCAGACTGAACTCAGTTGAAATACTATTAAAAAGCAGTGAGAGCTGAACAACTGCTTGGTTTCACTAATAACCTCCACAGCAATGGGCAGTGTCAACCACTCCAGCGATCGAACTTCAGACTTATAGTCTCTCAGCATGTGTTTGTTATGAATCGTACAACGATTCTAAAATGCTATTACAGTGAATGTAGTTTAATTTTTCCCATATTCTACACGTCTTTGTAGAAGAGCTACTTTGTTTGTTCTCGGCTCTTATAGATACTCTTCAAGAAAAGAAATCAAGAAGATTTATCCGCGTATGGGGTGTTAGTCAACTATAAAAATTATTCTTTTACAATAAAATTAAAATCTAATTCAATTAAAGATCAACAAATTTGGCCAAAGTCTGAAATCCTGCTTAGCGCTGGCACAATTAAAACCCCAGAGATTTTATTGCGTTCCGGTTTGGGGCCGAGTCATCATTATCCTACTTCTAAACAAGTGAGGCTAATGTTTGTGTATATTCGCCATGTCGAATAATTTTTAAATGCATTTAAAAGTCAGTTGAGTCCGGTCTTGTTTGACACAAACTTGAAAATCATCTCATTTCATAAATTCATCTGTTGTTTGTCTAGGACATTTAACTTCTTCCCTTATTATGTAATGTCATACTTATCTACGTGCTTTTCTAACTAAAAAGACAGACTTTTGTAATCCAGAATCAACAAACATACATTTCAGGCACTTGAACATTTTCAATACAAAGACAAGCATCCTTTTGAGAAAACACTTCACTAAGCAGCTTGTTACATATATTCAGCGATTAGCAGAGTGATACGAACTTTGACGTAGTCACGTGAATAGTTTGTTGAATCATTTCAGTAATGATATTAATAATTTACCATTACTGCTGTTATTACTAATACTGTGAAATTATACATTAAAGATTCCTTTGATCATGAAGCATTATCACTCCTAAAATTTTGCCAGTTGGTGAACTTACAACTAAGAAAGTTATGTAAATGAAATCGTAATAGTTTTTCCCAGTTGAAAGACGGCAACTGTGTACCACATTGTATCCTGAGTATCTCATGTATATTTAAATTAAGTTAAGCAGTTTAGTGAAGATTTTTTATGGTGTAGGATGAATTTTACTTGTATTTTGATGTTAGATAATGAACCACTGAAAACAAAAAAATATTCAACAGTTGTCTTAACCAGTGAACTGTAAAACAGTGAACCCAAACAAAATGACATGAGGTCAAGTCCGAAATATCTGAGTTATTTTTTTTTTGAAATGCTGATTTTAAAAATGACTTTTCAACATTTTCAACTGTTGATTCATAATATAATCCCATCTCCATCTTGCATCAAGTATAACTTGGTGTATCATCTTCAACTTTATTAATTGTACAGAACGTTCCAAATTCATACTGTAGTGATTATATTTTAATAACAAGTTGAATGAGGTTTATCAACATTTCACAAAATCCGACTGAAGCTTTTTTCAAAGACTGACATCAGTTTGATATTCATTGAAACTCAGAGTTATGGATTCGATCCAGTTGATACAAAGATCAAGTAGTTTGTCTCAAGCGAAGGTACTGTTCAATACTTCCCAGATTTCAGTGATTCTTCGATACTATCTGGTTACTAATAAGAGTTACCTCCAAATAACATAAATATATAAATGTACATATTTATATTATCAAAAATATCATTTTGATGGATACTTAGATTTACACTATTTATATTGATTTTATTTTATTCAGGAGCATAATCATATCAATTTGCCAGTAGGTGAAAATCTTCACGATCATCCAATGATTGGTTTAATATGCTCAGTTATAAATGGTACAACAATAACTGCAAAAAGTTTATCCTTATTAGAATTATTCAAATATTATTGGCAAGGCAAAGGTAAGCATGTTTACATGAATAAAACCCATTCACTTTCTAAAAGAACCTCAAACTAGTAGTATAACCACAACAAGTATACAAAACAACAGATCATTTAAGACATTAATTAATACTTGAGCTTATATCAAACTTCTTGTTACAATCAACAGTCTCGTTATTACAACTTAAATTGTACAGTATAGCAAGTACAATCAATGTTAAAAAGGTGAGATTTGTTTCATAACAGAAATACAATATTTTTAAATAGTGGGAAGATTAGTATAGGGCTGTAGAGATTTTTGAGGTTCATTGAAATCATGAACCGATTAGTGTTAAACCATCACTGAAAACCCGATTGCATAGTCAGCTGTTTTTTCCTAGCATGTGACCTTGCAAGTGGGGATGGAACTTAGCACCTTCAGTTTGGCACGCGAGCATTTCACCTGTATGTAGACCACTGACCCAGAATCCAACGGTTTCGATATCTAAAAATAATCAATCCAAGATAATTTTCACATCAAAATAATGAATCAGCTGTCATATTTACTATTTTATAGTTTAGCAACAAAAGCTCTGAGCTAATGCTAATCTCTTAATATTCTTGCGGTGCATTCATTTAGCATTTTTGCAATGATAACACCATTCGTAAATAAAAAAGAACTCTATAGCAAATTCAAACATAATTATTTTTTGCGTTTGGTTTCGTTGACTATGGTTACTTATGTAAACAAATAAACATTTATCGATCGATCGCCTGGTCACAGTGTTGTTTGATTTTTGTAATTTTATTCTGAACAAGATAAATGTTTCGAAATATGTGTATGTATACAGATGAACATTTTTATCATTTTCCACTGATACATAGATAATTAGCATGTTTCTAAGCTGTGTACATGTACTGCTGAAGATGCTAAATAAAGAAATACGACCAAACTTAGAAGCACTCAGTTAGAAAGAAAACTAACATTAATATAAAATATTTTCTACTGTTTTTTCTATAGAATAAATGGATTGTTTTTATCGGTATACCATTTGGAAATACCTGCATCCGGATGTTAATGTGCACACCAAGACTCGAACCCAGTACGCTTCATTTGAAACATCTACCATACAATCCTCTGAGCTATTGAATTCATCTAGCCTTTCGCTTATGTGACAAGTATGATATATTTTGCAAACAATGACCAAAATGAAATCAATTTAATAATTCAAATCCTCTCTAATAAAGATATAATTGAAAGGTACTGAGTTGGAATTTTCGCGTGAACATCAAAACTGGAATGCACCTACATTCACTTGACAAGTGACAAACAGGATAAAACTCTAATCCTAACACTGATCACAATACACAACAATCTATTCTAAAAAATTATTACAAAATGATCAATTAAGTTCGAACACGATTCACATGTGCCGAAAAAGACTAATCGAAATTCAATCAAGATGATTCACATCTCGATAATTCATATACTTTCTAACATTTAGGGTTTAGTGAAAATTTCTTATCATAGTAATAAATTTGAAGATGGAGTGTGAAACTGTTTTAATGAATGAATTGTTTATTTTTCTCACAGGTTTACTTTCACAAGCATCAGCATTGACTTCAATTGGTTATTACCGGACAAGTTATCAAAAATTAGAAAATGATTCTCGACCAGATATACAATATACAATTATTTCAGCTTCACCATTTGAAAAGGATACTTTTGAAAATGTTCGTAATTATCATGATTATTGGTATTAGTAATGATCAGAGTTATTTTATTTCCTAGTTTACATTACGGATTGATCTCAGTGAGACAACCATTTAAAGTTAAATGTACTTCTGTTTTTGCCCCAGTTGTAATTATGCTCGGTTCAACCACAGACTAAACTCAGGAGACTGAATCCTCTATTTTTTATTAATTATAGGTTATCGTTAAGTAACTAGTATTCTCTGGAAAAGTTGTACATCGATTATTATCAAGATATGTCCAAGATTTGATCAATATTGTATAACAATCAACCTGATTCTTTGAGATGTACAATAATATCGATTCGGTCAGTTTATGGTCTCATGTTTATTACATTCATCTGCCAGTTGAAATTATATGAACACAGAAAGTGTTTACGATTATTTCTTTTTGCTAGCGGACATTATGAATGGTTTTTTTTACATATTTCTTATAATTGCACGAATCAGAGTAAATCACAAGTGACTTTGATCATACGAAATGAAAGGAAACTAACTTCACTACAAAATGTTTGTCACGCTGTTTTGCTAAAGTTTATGACGTAAATGAATTGCATGAAATGTTTTCTTTTATTCTGAATATGTTACTTCAAAGGTGACACAATAAAGGAAACCTCATGAATCGAATGCAGATGAATAGAAGAGAAGAAGATAATTCATTCGGAAATTTATTCAATTTCTGTTTGAAACTATTGACTGATAAACCGTAAATGTTGCTTCAGTACAATGTAGATGACTACATGATAGATTCATGTTTCTTTACAAAGTTGATTCTAGACAGACTAGTACCGACTTGAAATAATTCTCTTCTTTAAACTTTGAATAAATTCATTCCTTAATATCAAAAACATTTTATTCGTCGGATAAGGTATGGCTATGATGACTCAGTAATAGAGTAGATAACTTTTTCACGTTTCGTGCAATAAGAAGTTCCTTCCACTAACACTAAGACATCAGTATATTCAACTGATAAGTTTAAAATACGATGCAATTACTGCATAGTGGGGGAAATTTATCACTAGTTTCGACTTTTCACTTTGTGTTGTAAATTGTTTCTTAATTAAGTAAACAGGAATAAAACTTATTTATTGTACAAAAAGCTTTAAACTACATTAATTTCTTTTAAAGTTAGGCAACTTTAATCCATCTACTTGGTATCAATACATGAGAGATGAAAATTCCAGGGATTTTGAAAATCCTATAGTTTTATTGGTCAGTTTACTGAATCCGCGTTCAAGAGGAACGATCACGATGAAATACGATGATAATGGTCAACCTACTGGAAATTTGGGAATTAATCCATCGTATCTTAGTGAAAACACTGATGTTGATCGATTAGTAGAAGGGATTATTTGGATTTACAAAACTATGAACTACATCAATGAGAGGATGGTAGAAATTTCCCAAAGAGAAATAAATAAAGAACAACGAATTGTCATAAAACTTCATCTACCCCATTTTTCCGGATGTCCTAAAATTCCAAAAGCTGAAAGTGTACATCATTTTGACCAAGTTGAATTTGTTGAGAAATTGAAAATCGCCATTGAATGTTTGACTAAATCAATAACGTTATCTAACTACCATTTGGTTGGAACATGTTCTATGAAATTACCTGGTAGAAATAATTCGGCTGTTGTAGACAAGAACCTCAAGTACGTCTAAAGTGGAGTTTTTTTTAGTCAGATGGTTATGTTATACATATCATAAAATGTTTGATATACATAAAACATTAGACTTAAAAAATTTACCTACAAACCAAATTGTAGTTATTCTGTAGTCCTGGTTTATTTCGGACCTTCAGGTTCGTTATGATGTCAGTCTGTGCAGCATTTCCAATATAGCTTGAATTTACATTATTCCCCTCGCTAGGCAATCTGAATCCTGCTTTCCGCAATAATCTTTGTAGTCATAGATACTCATTTCCATATGTCTAGAAAGTATCTGGGAGTGAAATCCAAAAAGGTGAGTTTTGTAATTTTTGCTGCTGATCAAATCCATATGCTTCCAGTCCAGTCTCATCATCACATTAACGAGGTATCCTGTAGGGCGGTCTATCCACTAACTACTTTAATTATTACTTCAAATTAATACTGATGTAACACACATATCACGATGAATAATAATAATAATAATAATAATAATAATAATAATCACCTCCACCACATAAAGTTACTCACTTCCATAACTGATAGTATGCAATAACTTTCTATAATGAAGACTACATAATATCACAACGCATAGTGAGCAAATGAAGATTGACTAACATCAACCATCTATTAAAATCAACTTTGTTTGGTCAGAAATATCAAGAGGTTACGTATATTCATTAATATATATATATGATCATATCAATAAACATATAAGTTAACTTTTGACCAACTTCATAACTGGGTGCAAGTCGTCATACCTCGTTTTTTACCATACACCAAGCTTAAGGATTAGTTTATTAGCTGAAACAGAAGATTGTCTTGTGCAGTTAGTTATGAACAGTACGTCAGTAGTTGAACATGTAATGTTTTCATCACTACAAAAATTTATAACTTTAAATTGTCTAAAAGTGTTGTAAAAGAATTTGACTATATACGTTGCTAATTATGATTTGAGAATACGTTTGAAAATTTGGGCGCTTAGAGTAAAACATTAATCAGCCTCAGGCAATGAAGGATGGTCAGGCAATATCGTAAATTCAGTGAAGTTATCTATGAACACAATTGAATGTCGGCTTAGTGGTATAAAAGTAAAATATCTGCCACAAAACTGGGTTTCATCTCTTGTTGTAGGGTCGTGGATGCGCCATGTTACAAAATGCCTCATTAGAACTAAATAGTTGTCCAATTCATCCCGCCTTTTATTGATTATCTTGCTATGAGTAGAAAAATATAACAATCTACACAAAATCTACATACTAATAGGGATCAGTCGGTTTAGTTTCGCAAATTGAATTATAGACAGTAATACTGTAGAAAAGATTACTTTTATTTATTCAACATGTATGCACCACGTTCTAAACTTTTGCTTCTGATCGATAATTCATATTACAGAATCATTGGAGTGAACAATGTTCGTATTGGTGATGCATCGGTTATTTCGAAAATTCCAACTGGTAATCCAGCTGCACTTATAATGGCTATTGGCAATCAGTTAGCTAAATATATAATACATGAAAATTGGGAACAATTGTCATTGATGATGAATTGAAAAGTCACTCACTCACTCTCTCTTTCTATGGAAAAATTAGAATTCAAGCCTTTGGAAAAACGCTTTAGAACTTAATATTCTCAGTTTCGTAGAGAAATAAGCTAATCAATGCATTAAAACATGAAAACCATTTTCAAATAAAAAAACACACCTAAATGTAAATGCATGTACACCTGTTCTGAATACAAACTTATATACATCTATATAAAACCTTAAACAAGCAAATTATTAGCATACTAAATGCTCAATACAATCTATAGTTGGTACATTCAACAAGTGTGATTGTTATGAATTTTTTTTTCAATAAAAACAATTTTATTTAGCAGCTAGTTTTTGACATTATTTTAAATCATATGATAGAATAATTGTGTGGCTTATTTGTTAGTTAATCTCTTCTATAGCTTATTATATATTTATAGGATTAAGACATGGTAATCATGGTATTCTATTCATATAAATCTTTACATACTGTGAATGATTGGATATAATATATCGATAGTAATATATTGTGGCATCTGATAATCTTAGGCTTATAATTATTCAGCCTTATGAGATCCATGTAAACTCATCAGTGTGCTATTGAAAATCTCAAGAATCTATTGGCGATACGGTTTATGACTAGCATGTACAAGAATTTCAACTCTGAATAACCTAGCTAACAATTTCTTGTTAACTAGACTCAACTCATTGGTATACAGAAATGAAGAAGTCATTTTTGTGAATAATAATTATAATGATAATCACTATCAGATTTATGTATAGGCTGGATATCTATCCAGATATTTAAACTGAGGCAGGTGATTTTTTTCAAGATTCTCTATCGCAAGCATTCGAACTGGAGGTGTAATTTAAAAGGTTGTAGCGTAAAGTTAGTCGATGGCCTTCCGTAGTATGAGGCAATTAAAAATTAAAAAACACATATTTGAGCAAACAAGTGTTTTTGAAAACTTTGTCATCAGACTGTACGTAGACATTTCACGCCACAAAGTTACATGTAGCCTTCTCAACCAACTTAGTACTCACACAGTGAATCAAAGAGAGATTATCGTTGATGGTCTCCTCCAGGTGTGTATATCATTTTGAGAGCTTCCGTGGATCTAGTTACATAGGCGGTACACAGAAGGTCTTATATCCTTGCGTGCTCGTGTACATGTACCAATATGGTTAGGAAAAAAGGAATCATGAAACGGATTAACAGTCCCATCGTTTCTCAGTTGGTAGATTGTAAATACTATATTAAAATAAATTGGGCTTTATCTGTTTTAATCCAAGTTCCAAGCAATATGCCTAAAGGAGCTAGATTAAGACTCTTCTGCATAGCCATTTGAATAAGCTCCAGAAAACAATAGTCTGCTACAAGACCACCGGATACCTAAACTGGATAGTATAAACCTGTTATCCCTCACCCCATTTCCTTTCCTTTACTCATTCTACACATTCAACTTAACCGGTTCACGTGAATTTTTTGTCCTGATTCTCCTGACCACATTGATCATATTGTTTATTAGATTGGCACAACGTTATTGTTATTACTGTCTACATTGTCGAGATGAAACCCTCATACTATAAAGTTTATTCATACAATTTATTGTACCATTATATTGATTATTACTTGACCCCTTTGTTTGAATTACTTTGACCTTAAGTAAAGCATTTCAAATGTAATCGTTGCAAAATTTCATCATTTTTAGGATGTGACATCGTCTAATTCACTTAGACATGTCTTATTTTAGTACTTGTAAGGTGACACAATAAGTATGAACTCATAACTGTACAGTCTGATGACGAAGTTGTTAAAATCAAATGTTCGCTCAAAACAGCATTTGTTTTTGAATATTCGAACAGAGTATTTTACTTAAAGCTGAAAACAGATTCATCCATTATTTTTTCCCACAGGTCACATTACTGTACGAGAGCAATTGAGAGATCGAACTCCCTCCATCCTGAGTGGTATCAGAGCAAGTCATAAGTTCAGAAATATATCTGACTAGTGGATTATCTAAGCCATTGCATTAAGATAAATACTTAGGAATGTTCTGTAACGATCTCGTAAATAAGATTAAGTACCAAAAGTGGGAGAAAGAATTCTTTCACTTGATTGGTCACTCAGTTTTGACCAGTGTCATGTATTTCGAATCCTTCTTGATGCTGATCGAATTCTGTCAGTCAAGTAGCAATGTGGTCACTTATATAGGTGACTGCACATTTTATACCATTAAGTAATGAGCTTGTGCTAAAGCCCTTCGAAAGTTGTCTACACTAGGATAGATAGTCGAGAAAGTTTTCGAATGAGGTTAAGGACGACAGAATGGTGAACAAATAAATGTCATATCGATTTTGGACATTATTTATTTAAACGGACCTTTAAGTGCAGATAGAATTCATAGTGTAACTACTAATCAATTACTATCCATTCTCACTCAGCCCAACTACAAACAATACCATGTTTTCTGCCAACCGAAAATGAGTAAATATTCATCGGAAACCATTGACAGATTAATCGGAAAAGTCAGTTTTGCTTAGCATAGAAAGTTTATATAAATAAATGAAATCATATTGCCTCTCTTATAAAACAGTTCATAAGAGTCTTGCACTCTATAAAGAAACTTCTAGCTACTAAGAATTGCATTCAAATGCCATTTAAGTTATCTGTAACATTTTCAAAACTATGAATGTTGCTTTATACTAATTAAAATATAGTCAATCACTAATTTTATTACTGTAATTATTATTATTATTATTATTTACAATTGCGATGAAACAATTTAAAAGTAAGTTAGTTATGCATGAGACAGATAACAAACAATCAGTCTAGAGTGTTGCCAATAGTTACTTTATTTATTATATGATTGATTATTGTATGAGCTTTTGTTTTATGTTTAATTTATCTATTTTACTTTTAAAATATCTGATAATTTTCATATTTCTTTTTTATCTAAAGAGACTTTTTCACTGCTCAAAAAAGTGGTTATCTTTGAAAATTGACATGACTTGAACAACTACTAATAAACTAGAGAATATACAACATACACATTGTGTGACTCCAAGTCCTGCAACAGATGAAATGCAGAAATTTCATATCTTAAAGCAAATATGGTACTTTTTTAAACAGTGGTATGCGCTTCCAATGTTACAGATTAGTTAATATTGTGCTCCGATTTGAAATGAATTTATTCGTCTTCATCAAATCAACTTGAGCTTCACATTGAACGTTGTACTAGTGAACAAACGTTTACTAACTGTACATGGTTCTTTTATACTAAGACTTAACCTTGATAACTTTTAATAAAGAAATTATTTAGTTCTAAAATAATAATGTTGATATCATTCATGACCTCATTAATCTTAAACAAACGTCTTTATAAGTGTACAAAAAACGATATGTCTATTTCTAAAATGTCCATTTCTAATTCGATGTTGTTCATGTATGTTGACCCAATAAACTGAGCGCATCAATACTTCAGTTAAGATAGAGAGATACTTGCATACAGAAAACAAAACAATTATGAATAGATTGTATTAACATCACCGATGTCTGTTTAGTGAATGCAGTTATCACTTGTTCGTGTCTTACTGGAAAGTAATTTGGTTGAGATCATTACTTCTGTTTATCCCTTACTCAGTTATCATTTGTTATTACATTTTTACAGGGTTTTTCATAATTTTTATTCAGTTATATGTACCATTAATCTTTAGGTATGCTTCTCATTTCTTCTTCATATATATCAAGTGGACAGTTATCTCACATACTTTTGACAAGTAGATTTTTTTCTATCATTTTATTGTTCTTTGACTTTTAAACCATTTCACAACTAGCTTGTGGTAATTTATCTCTCTGAATACTTTATGAGTTACTGCATTTCTATTTTACAGCGGGCTAATATACCTATTAAATTACTGTAAATGCTACTGTACAATTTCAGACAATCTTTACCTTTTCTAAAATAACTTATGATAAAATGGCTACATTAAGACAATGCTCATCTGAATTCAGTTCGGAATGTCACCGACAAGATGATTCAAACCGTCACTGATATAAAAACAATCCCCTTCAAACTACCTGGTGATTGTCTGAACTCAGTAGATCAGTGGATGACAAGTTTCAGAAAGAACAAAAAAATATTGGGTTCAACTTTCAGTATGAACATCGACTTCGGAGTGTGTTTAGATCTATCTTAATAGCACCGGATGAAATGAAACATATGGCTTAGATCCGATTGCTAGATACAATCTACCTATCCTAAATAATTGCACTGAATTGTTTCGACTCGTTGTTTGGTGAAACGATGAGCCTCTGTCGTCTTTGAACATCAGAGGTAACAATTGTTCTCATATAACATCATTCACTGTCACTAACATTCGTCTGTGAACATGATATGCAGAGAATATCATGGTATGACTGAAAAAAATAAAATTTAAAAATCAGTCATTTAAAAAATGGTTTTATTTAAATAATAGTTTCATCAATTGACGTAAACGTATAAAAACAAATCAAGTGATTTTTGTAACCGTTTCTTTTTTTTCGCATACAATTCATGCATTATTGATTCTTTACTTTAAAATCAATATTAAATTGAGTTAAAATGTATCACAACCAGAATAATAGCACTTTCGGAAAGATAATTCAATAAAATAATCGATTAACTATTGATTTAATTTACAAAATATTGAAACAGAAATGTAGTATAAAAATTGCATTTCGATATAGTGCATTTTTTAAAAGCAATAAGTTGAAAATCATTTCGAGTAACATTTTCAATCAATACTGTTAAATAATAATTAGATTATTTTTGGTAAATTAAATATGTAGATCAATGTTTGTTCTTGTAAAAGCATTGAATTTCCTAAAACGGAGGAAGTGAATCAGTGAATGCAGTGATTAGTTTAATAGAAAAAAATATTTAAATAATTGAGAAATAAACATCAAACTAGTTTCATTTTAATAAATACTATATAAGTCTTGATTGCAGTAATATTAAATATTGAGGTTGAATTAAACATTTTTCCTAATTAAGGCTGTTGAGGTGACGTTATTACTACCTTATCAATCTATCCCTTAAATTAACCGATCTGTTTCTTTTCAAATATGGTTATTTTAGAAATATGCATTAACAGTCATTTATTATTGTTAGCGAAAACTTTTTGGTTAAAAACTCAGGTTGATTAAAGTTAGATAATCATTGAAAACTAGAATGTGCTGAATGGATTTCTCATCTTAGTATAGGACTCTTTGAAGATGCTTATCTGAGACCGGACGTCAGGAGTTTAAACCCCTACGACAGTTTAACTTTTCGTCTACTGAATTAGTATACAACAATTTATATGTTTAATTTCTGTTGGTTCCTAGCTGCCTCATACCTAGAACATCTGGTTTCTACTGGTCTTAACGTCTTACTATAACTCCTGAAATTTAATCTTGAAACAAGTCACTAGTTAGCACACTAATATTCATATTATTAGAATGGAGGAGTTTGTGGAGGTTGTTCAATTCTCATAGTTTACATATCAAACTGATATCAGATAAAAAACATTTTCTTCATCGAAAAAATTCAGTCTAAAATTATTCATCTTAAGTAGAGATCACTCATGTCACTTAGTTCAGTCATTAATAAACTTTAGACCATGTAGTTATTTTTCAGGACAAGTTTCAGTGTAAGAATGCTAAACTTTTCACTTTCTGATTTAGAGTATTAAATTCTGTTGACTATTTGTCATGCGTCAAGTTTGTAGTATAGCAAGTCAGCTCTTCGTTTCAATATAATCTGATGTATGGAAAGCGGCTGTCATGATCGTTTAACGCGCGTTTTCTAACCCTACATTCTAGCCTAATTGTAATGACTGGAAAGGAGAAATGAATCAACCTCCAAGAACATCCAATCATGTGTTAGTTAACTGCATCATCAATCAACAGTCAAGAAGAATTTGTCGGTATGAATACTTTCATTAGTTTAAATGTTTCAGATTCCTCACAAATCTATTTAAAATACAGGTGTATGAACCATTCACCAACACCCACAACACCAGTGTTTTTTCATAGGGTAACAATACTACTAAGCTTGTCAGTAAGTAATATACAGCTTACTGATTAAAATAGTCAGGTAATGCACAGTTAATGGAAAATGTGCACATCACTGTCGTTATCAACAATAACCAAGCGAAATATGACAAAAAGACGTTGATAATTTAACCAATAGGGAAATACATACTAAAAGTGTCTTGTAAAGAGGTCAGTTTGTCAGGATTTCAAGTTGCAATTTTGATTTTGGAATCTATTTCCAAATCAGAAATATTGTTGTACAGTAATTCGATTGACAGCTTTATTGTGAAAATAATCCAGATGGCTTTAATCTTATAGCTATTAGTAGTTCTTGAGTACAGCGGACATTCCCTATTTTTATATTCCAACCAGTAGGTTTAGTTTACCGATTTCTGTTATGAAAAAATTCACACAAAACAATTGAACAACCATTCATTTTGCAAAGAGACTAGTTAAAGTTTATCGCACTCCGGCATTAAGTAGAGATTGGATCATAGTTTCATAACTGTTGTGCGTTTCAGAGATGAATAGGAAAGTTACCAAAGAATCTATGTTTTTTCAAAACTGGACGTTTGCCTTAAATCATGAAATCGCAAACTGTAAAAAATGTACGCCCACTCACTCTGTTCACTTATTCAACCAATTTATCGGTTATCCGCAATTCCAAACTCCTCTCCGAATTTTATACATCTTGACAGAGCAATTTTACACAGACAGCTGCAGCATCATATAATGTCGGGTAGGTGGATTTCAATCCAGGACAAACTTGCCAATCATATACAGATAAACATTTGAATGGAGTTGGATCTAAAAACGTACATTAATTTGTTTAGCATTTATCTTTAGAATAATTATGAATGAATGAGTAAAAATATTTTATCTAAATGATAACTGCCAACATTCAAGCAACCCTGAGAAACTCCTTACTCCAAACATCTTGATGTTACTGGTGTAACCCGTTAATAAAAAGATTTTACAAAAAGATTCGAGTTACTATCACACTACAAAGCCAATCAATGACGATCCCAACCAAAAATGAAAAGTAAATCATTTAGGCTTTCCCTATTAAAGTTGACCTCTGACTGTTCTTGTGGTGTATCTATAAGTATTCTGCTAACTTTTCCGTCAATAGGAATTACCTTATGAGTTAAAAGTAATTTTTAAGAAGGGTTGACAGCAGACACTGATATACTCTTTTTATAAGATAAAAGCTCTCTGCAATTAAAAAGTTCAATGTCAACCTTTGGAACCTTTGGATTATCTGGAGCGATTAATTAGAAAAAATATAACTCAAATAGCCAATCTTTGCATAACTAACCATAACTATCTACGGATAATAAAATAGCATTCAATGTAAATTAAAGAACCATTCAACTGTGAATCATATAACTATTTAATTCACTTTCTACAGAGAATAAAATTAAAATAAACGGTTTTAAAATGTCTGTATGTTTGCCTTGATTATATCCACATCCTCTAATCGTTTGTTGTTTACTTTTAAAAATGATGTCAATGGTGGATCGATTGAAGGTAACCACATAAAAAGCTGAATATTAATTCATTAGTTTTACGTTTCAACGCTTGTATGGTTTGGATTTGATAATCGGAGCGGTCGTGGATGAGTAACGTTTTTTCTTCTGACGACATGGATTTCATCTCCATCTACATACACATGAACATCGATTAGTTAAGAAACACCACAACAGAAAATCACTTGTATCAATGCATGTAGACAAATACATGGAAATATGTTTGGTTGAAGATTATTGGATAGAGGAGAAAGGAAAGTAAATCAGAGAGTTTTGAGGAGCCTGACAATCTGGTCGAAATTCAATTAATAGATATATCTGAATCGACTTAGACTATCAATCGATAAGGAAATCGTTCAATAACTCGAAAATGAAAGATTAGATGAAAGATGAAAAGGATCAAGACCAGTGTGTAAATAATGAATACACATCGATGAACAGCAAGGGACTAATATTGTATGTCGAAAGAACATTTTTTCAGTAAACTAGAGAAAAGTTCTATCACCTCAGTACTTCGTGAAATATGTGCTGATGAAAACTTGATGTCTTAACAATTTAACTCAAAAAATACCACAACTCCAAATTTTTGAAAGAGATGATGAATTATATTGCAAAAGAAAACGTGAACTACTTTTACCTCCACATAAAATCATATAGTGTTTATTTTTGTACAGATTACGTTGTATTTCAGTGAGTGCTGTAGCGCCAGCCGGATCAATATGCGTAATACCCGATATATCCAACAATATAAATCTTCGTAATTCATGTACATTATGCTCAATGAAATTGTCATCCAAGTCAAAAATTGTTGATGGTAGTTTTGTTTCAGATTGATGATATGACAAACTACTTTCTTCTGTCTTGCAAATCTGAGATTATTTCAGTATATTTGGATTTAAGCAGGGTATAGTAAGAAGTTTGAAAAAAAGAAGAAAACACAATCGAAATCTAATTTATTCATGTAGAGTCGTTGACTAGTTGTATCGAATTCATAACTGATAAAAAATAATAATAATAATACTTATTTAATTCACTGATTATAATGAAGAATTCTCAATACAATGATTTTCTTCGTAAGCATTTTATTTTCAAATATTCCGAATATTTATTAAAGTATCATTTAATAGTCATCCATAAATGTTTATAAACAACCTCATATTTCGATGTCTGAATTGAATTGGGATTGCCTCTCTTCATCCAAAGGATAGATGAAAATAAACGAACTACCATGGTCATACTTTTTGAGCTTCTCGGCAATTAGATATGTGATAGGTTGTCAGTATTTGGTGACACTATATGTAAGTACTCGCGAATGACAGACACTATTAGTTAATTACGACAATTTTCAACCAAGAATATTTGTAGTTGAAATCACGAACTAATCTAAGCTAGACCACCATTAGAAATCTGAAAGTACCGAACGGCCGATTGTCCTAGCACAGAACTCAGCAGCGCGCATCCATTACCCCCATATGCAAACTAAACAATCTCCACAACCTTATGATGTCAATAATCATATGTCTACTAGTGACTTGCTTTCTGAGGGAATTCTCTTAGTTCTAGTGAGAAGCCGTTACCAGTGAAGTCCAACAGAGTTTACGAGTGTGAGGCAGTCAACTTTTGTAGGCAATGGGGGAAGTCATGAGATATCATGTATTGATTATAGTTAGAGGTTAACACCGCTGGGTGTTGGCCCAGAGGCTGCACGCTAGACCGAAGGTTCCGGGTTCGATTCCCATGTGCGGACGTTATGGATGCGCGCTAATGATAAGTTCTGATACTAGGATGAAACTGCCATCCAGTATTTCCAGGTATCTAATTGGAGTTTGACTTATATCGTCTCTTGAACTTAGTACAATATTCACAAATCCCCTTCATTAACAAGAATATCTCTGTCGATAAATGCATGGTAAAATGTTGCCCTAGAAGTTTTGTCAGGTCCCGAGTTAAACATTTTACATACGAAATCCCTACTGATAAAGCAAAATATTAACAACATGAGAGATGAAATCCTATAATGATTTCTTTTACGTTTCCTTCGACAATCAAACACTTGATGTATCGTGACATGTCTGTCTTGTATGTATTCGTAACTTTGTTTGAAATCACGAGTGATAAACCTTGTATACAAGTAAATTAGTTCACTAACAAATTCATATTTAACACTTTAAATTGACTGAAATGTAAACAGTTCGTTACAAGTGCAGCTTCAAAGATTTAGTTTTAACTAATATTCTGACCAATGAGAGATAAAGTATGCAGTTATGATGATCAAAACCTGAATGGTTCACTTACGCATATTAATTTTATATGATAATAAATAGTGAATTCAGTTTTCCGTCATACACATACATGTAATTCAAAAATATGCATAATCTAACACTTATCGACAGCCTACTATGAAGTATATCAGTACCTGACCGTCTTTACTGCCACTGATGAATACTACGAACCTTATGTGGTTATTTTTTGTGTGAATTATATCACATCACAGCTTATAACACTAAGAGATATTGTTCAGAATCTCTCAAACAGATCAGTTACTTTACTAATCTTTGCTAAGCTCTACTGACGAGTGCAAATCGCGATGAAACTCATCTCTAAAGCGTCCGATCGTTTGTTCGCACCAATTTCACATGCACATTATTTAAAAATGATAATGAATTTTAAGAAAAACTATTAATAAAAAAAGAAAATTTCTCACATCATTTGATACGTTGCTACTATTGTTTGCCAATAAACAACTGTTACTATTTGTTGAGACTATTTTTCGCTCATTTGCAATTTCTGACAATTCATAAATATTATTTATACCGCCTTCTGTATTCATAGATTTCTCATTTATATGGCAATGATTATGTTGTCTTTTATCATTGTTTGAATCATCATCATCATCATCAACATGATTATGTTTATTAGTTAGATTCTGGTTATTAGCACCACGATTGATTTCGCCATCATCTTTTAACATCATATTATTCATTATTTCATAGATACGATTAGTGAAATTTTCAGCGGATGAAAAATTCAATGAGCCTAGAATACGTATTGCTTTGATCGATGACAATAGATAATCATATTGCGTTTTATTAATTGGCATATTGGTCAATAGCTTGATGAAATTTGAAAAAAAAATTAATAATTTGCAATAGCATGCACATTTAAAAACTACGTAAAACTGAAGTAAAACAAAAGTTGAAATTCATTTTTCTTAGATATTTAATAAGAGTGTATCATGTAATCTCTTTAGATTATTGTCATCCATTCAAGGTCATTCACGTGATAAACTTGATACCGGTAAACTCTAAAAATTTTGGAGACTAATATTTGGAGAAGAGTCAAATGTATCATTGACCATGATGGTTTTAAATTACTGGATTGACAGCTATTGGTTCGTATTTTTAGTTATAATCGATTCGTGACATAGTGCTCTCTTCATACAATGCCATCGATGACCCACTGTTTATCGAGTTAACCACATTGGAAATCAACTAGTCATTCAATTCTGAAACGGTAGTAAATTGTGGTAAAACAAGCACTTCCTATCATGATATATAGTTTATTAAAAATTACCCAAGGTTTAGTCAAGTCATGACGACAACAATTCAAGGAGCTAAGAGAAACTGTAAAGTACTAATTTTTATTATCATTCTTTAGAAATAATAAATGATGAATACTTCTTTCAACTGAATGAATATCTCTTTCATAATTCATATAGTAAATGTTAAGTTTGCATTCGAAGAATCTTAAGCCAACCACCTTATAGGCAGAAAAGAAATAAAATAAAAAGTAGATAGACGGACATGTATGACATTCTATGCACATATGCTATTTCTTTTAGAACGACGAAAACCAATCCAATCGATTAATATTTTTTAAATGTTACTCTTCCATTTATTTGGGCGTTCCTTTCCTACTGTGACTATTTTTGGTTTCATTGTTTGTTAAAAGAAATTTTTATTTGTATATACGAAAAAATTGCGAAATAAGTTACAAACAAATAAATGCAAGAATTGGTTATGTTAATTGCTTGTTCAGTATGAAATTTATTTCCGTAATATACATTCACCACTTCATCATGGACACTATAGGTTCGTAGACATCAGTGATAAGAATATTTCCTTTGAGAACCGACCTTAGTCAGACAACTGTTTTGTGAGCAACTGAAAGCCAACTCTGTGGCCTAAAGTTTGGGTGACAGTCAACACACTTGAAGGTTCTCGTTTTTACTCCTCCTTGAGGCTGTGAATGTACAGTATTGAGGAGTCTTAAACCCAAACGAAGATGTCCGGTTGTTGTCTAATTAAAGTCATTTCGCGATACAATGTAATAAACTTGACTATTTCGAAAACTTATAACTTGAATTTGAAAATTTAAATAATGTAGGTTTAAACTCATCAAAACATGCGGGTAAGTTCTGGTAATCGTACTCAAGTATCAGGAACAAATATTTTCTACGTATTGTGATAAAACATCAAAGCGGATAATTGTTTGTGGTATTTTTAATGAATTGATTTTTAAAAATGAATGTAAAAATATATATTTTTAGATTTTACACGGACCCAACTACTTTGTTCAACAAGATTCAGTAGAAAAATGTATGAATTCATCAATCCATATCATACATTCATTCAAATCACTCAACCAAGAAGTTGCATCCCATACCGTTTTATGTAAACTTAAAACAAAACTGATCATCTAAGTTTACAAATAAACGTCTTATAGAAATCATAAAGATCCTGGGAAAAATTCTTTAAGATTCATAGGTGTACACCGTTGAATAAGTGTATACTAACTACTTAACTTACATTCCGAGTTATCTTATACATCTTCCGCGTTAGTAACTATTAATTGACGTTTTTGTTCAATGCTGATATCGCTTACTTTTATTAATCTTCAGTTCTGTTAATAAAATCCCTCACTTAAAGGTAATTATGTGGTATGAAAAGTTGAAAATTCCTCTTATGTGACTGGACCAATCACTGGGTGTTGTAGCATAGCTCCAACAATTAAACGCAACAATATGTAACACATAATAAATGATATTTCATCAAAAGTTTTGATTTAAAAAAGCGATTGCTTTTCATATCATCATTCTAGCTAGTGGAACTTTTAAATCGATAATTCACGAACTTAGACTGCATCCAGTTAGGTAAGCTGTTTATGAAAACAATTTTAACTGATGAAAATTATTAGATAGATTTGGTGTTCGCTTTAAAATAATAACAGGAAATTTACTTTGTGAAATGAACTCAGTTGTGATAGATATGATTAATGAGTAATTTCGAACACACTAAAATCTAACAAATATTTTCTTGTATCATTGTTGGTAAGGGTTCGAATCCATCGGTTGTCGATATTGGCTGTCTGAGCTTGTTAGATCAATGGATAGTGAGTTAAAGTAAAAAACACTGGTTTTGAGTCCCAACGTGAATCTACACAGTGAGATGTAGTCACATGAATCTAACGAGACTCGGGAAGGAAAGAAAGCGCACGCTTGATACTAAAATTAGTCGCAACCTGACCATTCTATAGAAATCTTTTCTTCCTATGTCGGGATATTTTACTGGTAAGATCGGTAAATTATTTGGTTGAAAGGGAGAGTAAGGATGAATTTAAATCTATTGTTATGGTCAAGAATCGTCTTATTCACACTATATCATTATATATATATATATATATATATATATATATATATATATATATATATATATATATATTATGTGGTAGTAAACATTATTTACTCTGTGATTTTAATATCAGTTTTACAGATTTTGCATTCAAACTATTTGAAAACTTGAACGACTCAAACTTAAAATCAATTCTTTGAATTAATCTGAATCCCTGGTTAGTTTTCTTACATCCCTACTTAGGTATTTATGTTAGATTTTATGCCATAGTGAAGTTTCATCACAAAGTGTTAACATCTTGTAAATAAACGGAAATCAGAGATCGATAACTAAGAGTTTTTTCTTACGTTGGAACTACTTAACCAATCGCTTAAATTTGTAGAGTGAGAAAATATTCAAATTAGATTGGAACTAGCCGTTTTAGTGTTTTTAAAGTGTCAGATTGATTTTATAATAGCCATATTATTTATATCACAACATGAATATAATTAAATACTGTTTATTTTATTGTTAAAAATATGATTAAATCAATTTGATGGGTTTTACTGATAGTATTCCTAACTAACACTACAGAAAATGAATAATGTTTTAAAATTCCGCCAACAGTTGTGTGTTTATATAAAGTAAAATAAGTGCTATTGTTGAGTCAATGTACTAAGGCATTCTTCTTTTCCTTTGCCTTAAAGATCCCAAGTTAGGGCTTACCTTGTGACGCGACTAGGTGATTTTCGCATTGTGCATCCTATCTATTGCCAGCGTTTTACCTTAATTTCTTTTTCGGCTAGGCGCTGGCCGAAGATGGCAGGCCAACAGATTTGAGGGATTTCTGAATAGGCAACTGTCTAAAAATAACTGTATCTTCTTGAAGGTGGCCACAGTGGTTCTACACGTTTCAGTTTCGTGCATGAGAATTGTCTTGACGCTTGTATCGAATTTCTGACTTTTGTGTTGGCTAGCAATCGTTTCACTTTCTAGACGTTCTCCAGTTGTAGGAATACTCGCCATGTTTTGCCAATCCATGCCTTCATATCTAAGTCAAACCCTTATTGTTTATCACTGATTCTGCCCTGGTACGTAAACTTTTTCACCTCCTACAGAGCTTCGCCATAAATTGTGATTTGGATGATGCATGTTTTGTGGTACCAAAGGATCTTGTTTTCCCTCTTGTATGTGTTGAGACATAATGCTGCTGTGGCTGCCGCTACACTGGATGTCTTCACCTGCATTTGTTGTTGTGTGTGTGGGGAAAGAGCTAGATCATTTGCGAAGTCCGAATCGTCCAACTGCATCCAAACTTTACCCTTTATTCCGTGCTTTCCTTCAGGTGCTGACGTCTTCATAATCCAGTCGACACCAGGAGAAAATGGAAGGGTGGGAGTAAGCAACCTTATCCGAGAGCGGTCTTCACTTGGAACAAGTCTGTGAGCTGCTCTCTATGAATGATTTTGAAGTTTAATCCATTATAAGAATTTCGTATAATGCTATCTTCTCAGGTACACAGTAGTGTCTTAGAAGTCTCTAACTTTGTCATCCTGTCCGCGCTGTCAAATGCTTTCCGGTAGACAATGGAGTTGGTGTAGGGTGTTGAGGAATTTCATTGAACTGATTGTTCAGCAACGATCCGTAGTGTCGCGATTCGGTCAATATACAGTCGACCCTTACGGAATCCAGCCTACTGATCTAGATGTTCGACATCTACTGAATTTTCCATTAAGTCTTACGACACAGCTGAAAACTTTTCCTCATACTAATAGTAGTGTGGCAACTCTATATTTCTCAAATTTACTAAGATCTCCTTTCTTTGGAATCCTGATGAGGTATCCTTCTCCTCAGCTTGTTGATACCTGTTCTTGCTTCTAACAGTTGCTGGAGAGAACGTGGATCATCTTTGCAGGTACTTCTGTTTCAATGTCGGTTACTTCAGCTGGTATATTGTCTGGTCATGCTTCTTTGTCATTCTTGATCTGTTTAATGGCCATGCTGATTTTTTCACTGTTGGTGTGGTAACATCTATAGGACGGTATATAGATGCTGATTCGATGTTCGGTGGGTTCAGTGGAGATGGTCTATTCAAGAGCTTTTTGAATCTCAGTGATTGGTTTAGTTTCCTTGATCTTAACTGGTTGCTCTGATTCACCCTATTTTCCAGTTAGCTCCTTCGTTGTGTTATATAGTTAAACTACTTGTGCTACGTAAACAACTTAAATTTCAAACCAGATTAGTGGTGATGCTTCATGGTTTGATCGATAAAATATCCAACTATGGGTGAGATTTAATTTTTTACGCTATCTATCGTATTTATATATATCATGAGTTTGATGTAAGCAAAAATATACCACAAAAAAGGAAAGGTTAAGAATAATATGTAGCTAAAATACATTGAAAGCGACTGAGTTCATCGCTGTAAAAACTTGTGTATTTTAATTAATATAATAAAAATGGTCTGGTTAAATTTATGAATATACAATCATGAAAAGTTATAAGTGTCAAAGTATCAGTCTACATAAAAAATATATCATTAGTCTATGAAGTATGTTAATTAAAAAATCATATGATAAGAAAATGAGAATAAACTTTTGAAAGGTAAGTAATCAACATTGTATAGAACTAATGAAACACTCAGTTTTCTTCAGTTTTTTGTATGATGGCTGTTCAATAAGCAGCGTTGCGGTTGTTCACTGCTCCTTAATTTGCAGTGGTAACTGAAATGTAGAAAATCTATGATGAATAACACCTGGAAACATATCATCAGTTACTATCCGGCGAATAATCCGTGTAAACCTCTTATTCCTCCAGGAGAATAGAAAGTGTTAGTTTGTTAAATAACTAATTACTTTCAATTAGATTTGTTAGGTAAAATGTTAACAACAGTCGTCAAATTCTCATACTTACAAAAATAACAGCATACTAATACACTGAAGAACTTTATCAAGGTAGATGTTTAAAAAATGCATAGCAAATTATAAAATTCGTTAAGTTGCATAAAATAATCACTACACAACTACTGATGGAAAATGTCATACATTAAGGTTGATTAAATATAAAAAAGTAACCATTTTTATTTACGTAAATGTCAAATTACTCATAGAAGAATATAAAGCAAATAACACTGCTGGTATATATACTGTCACATATTATATTTGTAAACTTGCTTCACTATCAAATAAAACAACAGTCTAACTTACTTCATAATGCTTATGTACATAGAGTTCTGTCCCTGAGATGTTGTGCAATTCCAGTAGTTTGACGCTTCGTTGTCTTTCCGTCAATACAATGAGACAAGACAATAGACCAACTAAGAGGCCATAAGTGACATCAAGTATGATAGTGCCCAAAAATGTTACAATGAATAGGAACTGTTAAAGGGAAAAAAGATTACAGAAGATTATACAAAAAATGTATGATTTAATTTAATTTCAGTGTTTAAACAATTTAAGTGATTCACGCATTTTTCTCTCTCACACACTGCAGCACACATGAAGTATGAAGAAACGAAGGAAATACCTAATGAATGTCTTCCACGCAACTTATTATCCACGCAACTTCATCAAAAAATATCAACGGAAACCATCTACAGAGACGAAATCAAGTACAGGAACCAACAAACAGATCATCCTATCATATGTAAATGACATATAAGAAATTACAGCACGATTACTGGAACCATTTGCAGTAGGTTTAGCACACAAACCAATAGAATCACTTTAATCAATCCTGTGTAAACCAAAGGAAAAAATGACAAAGGGTGGGAAACCAAAAATCATCAACAAAATAAACTGTTCAGACTGCAAACAACACTAGATCGGACAAAGTGGACGTCCTCTTCAGTTTCGGCTACGTGAACATCAATTAGCAGTCAAGCGTCATAACATTTCTTCCCTTGTATCAATACATATGGACAACTATGGACATGCATTCGGTTGGAACAATCTTGACATCCTGGATAGAAGGAGTTCAAAGAACCATAAAGAATTTTTAGAACCTTGGCACTCAAGTCAATCAGCAATCAACATACTCGTAGACATTGATTCAACTTATCAACAGATCAAAAAAATCATTAAGAAACAAGATAAAAAAAACCAACCAAACGGTGATACAATCAAAATAAAGATGCAGACAACAAAAGGTTTACGGTTCATAAAAACCAATCAAGATCTAGGTCAACATGATAAGTTACGAGTTTTACGTGGAGAAATTCGAATACTTCACCTTTACCGGAAGTTTGTGATGATAATCCTGTTCAGAAGAACAATGAAATCTCCACAACCGAAACATCCAGCTCAGAGAACGAAACTCCACTACAACCTAAGAATTTTTTCCTAGCTTACTGAAAACTTGTTCTTTTGACCTACAATATTGATCGGTTGCTGTTCATTGATGTGTAGTCATTATTTACACACTGGTTTTGATACTTTTCATCTCCCATCTAATCTTTCATTTTCGAGTTATTGAACGATTTCCTTATCGATTGATAGTCTAAGTCGATTTAGACATATCTATTAATTGAATTTCGACCAGATTGTCAGGCTCCTCAAAACTCTCTGATCTACTTTCCTTTCTCCTCTATCCAATAATCTTCAACCAAACATATTTCCATGTATTTGTTGACATGCATTGATACAAGTGATTTTCTGTTGTGGTGTTTCTTAACTAATCGATGTTCATGTGTATGTATATGGAGATGAAATCCATGTCGTCAGAAGAAAAAACGTTACTCATATTTGTTTGTTATTGCGTCCGTTTATTTGCTTATCAGCCTCACTAAAGATCGAAACAAAGACCTTCAGCTCTCGTAACGACAGCTTAACTTTTAGAGCATTGAGCCATCATATAATGTTCCACGTTCTACATTGAGCGACCATATTTCAACCTTCTTGATTGATTAAAACTGTTCATATGCGAAGCGGCTGAATTTCAACTATTACGACTTCTCACGGAGACTCAGAAAATTAACACACAAAATTAGCTACTACTGAATACATAAACAGTTCTACTAAATGGATTTGTAAAAAATTTCAACTAGTGTCTTGGTAAGATACGAATGAAGAGCCTTCTGACTAGCCTCTTGATACAATTTAGTGGTTAATTATTCTACTTTTCGACGCATTTATAAATTAGCAAGAATTAACAGAAGTTTTCCATAAGCAAACGATTTATAAAAACGGTGAATTAGTTTTTACATAGAGATACAAATGAATGTTAAACTTTGCTTTACTTACAAAATCTGGTTTATAAGTAGTCCATAGATAGGGTAGTTTTCTCGGTCGTGTTAAGAGACTTTTCAATGCTACCACAATTATGGCAGACAGAATACACTGAAAATAAAAGTGCAATTAATGAGTTTTATGAATAAATTTATTCAATGCTTTTTATAATTCATCTCGGTGTTTACTTTCCGATCAACAACATACAGTACCGCATTGATCAGTGTATTTGACAGGATATGAGATCCTACAACTAATGCCTAACAATTGTCAAAATCTGTAAATTAACAATACTTTAGACAGTGACTGATAGTGGAACCTAGAAACTGAATTTCCTATCGTTTAAGATACACCAGATGTTCTTACGGAAATCTCGTTGTTCATGTTTCTACTGAGTGTGGTACACATCATTTCAAATGCTAAGAAGTTATGCACTATGCAGTAGAATTGCGACACTCAAAGAATAGTTCAATCAATATTATGTTTGAATACATGTAATATTAAAACATGTAATATATAAACACATAAAACTGATGAACCTCAAATATGAAAAACAGATTTTTTGAATTCCGTAGTTACAATACTAAATTTCCTTCCCACTACTGAACTGAACATATTAAAATAATCAGTATTACGTCCCAAATATGGTTAAAAGATAAATATTTCAGTTTGCTGCCGGTAATTTAAAACGATATGTAAATTTGACGAGTGTAGAATTCAAAACTGAGGCATTCTATTCTTACAAAAAGTAAACCTATCAGAATTATTCATAAGTGGCTTATGAATAGTTTACCGTAAGTGAATAAATAATCCGAAACACCTCAAGTTAATATGTAGTATCTATGAAGTGAATTCATATCCACTGAAAAACTCTCGTCGAATCTGAACAAATCTCAAGAACCAGTTGGCCCTTTACCCAATTCTTAGCCGATTACAATCGAAACAAACGTATTTCAAAGTTACACAAAGTTTAATTGAAATTTCGGTCGGTCTAAGGCAATATCCTACCAAAGAATATGGTTTTTCAATATTGAAGCTTGACTGAAGTTAAATACGGAAATCACTGAGTGCTAGTTCAGTAGACTAAGAGCTAGACGCCCAGTCCACTGAGATAGATTCATGACTACACACTTCTGAGGAGTTCAATATTAATACGAAATGTCTGTCGGATGCATATTGATTTTCAATCGTTAGATAATTTAGGTTGGATTTTGATCTCTACGACATTCAATAATCTTCACAAATCTTCATTCTAATAAGAAGCATATATTGATGATATTAAAATATTTGTTTGTCAATAATATTCAAGTTATTTCTGTTAATAGTGTAATTGTTAACTATTTACACTCACTGATGGAGTTGCTTCGAAATACGGCCCCAAGAACAATAGGACGAATATAATCAATATTGAACTGAATATACCTGAAAACTACAAAATAAACATTAAAAAACATTTACTGATCAATTATCACGTAGAGTATGATTTAAATTTCAAATATTACCTAAAATTTTTCATTAATTACGTTACTATTCATAGTAAGTACTGGAGATAAAAAAATTAATTCACTAATAAATGTCAATTATCTTAATAACAGCTTGATAAAGTGATAACCTTATTGAGCACACTCAATGATGATACAGCTCAAGTATCAAAAAGCATGTTCTTTGAATTTTAAAGCTTCAGTGTATTGTCGAGTAGTTGAGAAAAATCAGCAGTAAACCTAGGAAATATATATTGAACTAGTCGTTACTAATACCTAGGACCCATATACAGCCTTGAGGAATTTTATTTGGCTATTTGATTTATAACGATGCATGAGGTTTCTAAGTTGGAGACGTCACCACTGGACAATTTACACCGCAAACTAAACTCTAAGAAAAAAGATATTTACACTAATCGGTCTTAGTTAGTTTAATGTAGTCTACAGGATACCCAGGATCTTGGTTCAATACTGACTGGCAGTTGTTAGTAAGGCGGCCGTGTAGTCTTGTAGGAATTGATGCCCCTCGTGATATTCGAACCTACGTCACTCAAATTCAAAGTTTGAGACTTCCCATTGAAATTCTAAGGTACCGATTCACCAACTAGGTTGTACACTATTTAAATAGTTAGTAGTCTCTAGATTTACGTTTTACGGTTTCTAATACTGATCAATTTAGTTTAAAATATAATTACTAGGCTAAAAAATGTTTTAGTACACTGTAGAATTTTCATATTTGACAGTCCTATCCACCACTTATCGCTAAGACATGTCTGGAATTCTAGGTATTCTCATGTTACATTCGAACTGTAACAATGGAGTTTGATTGGTACCAAGATTCATTTCATAATATATTGATGAGCAGCACTGACCACTCGGTTCGTAATAGTTACAATAATGCCGGATTATGCCGTTTGGAATTTTGAAGTGGTAGCATATCTACGCAAAGTGCCAGCCTCGGAACATTTCGTTTACTTCGAATCGTTCTTCAGTGACAAGGAAGTCAAAAGAATAACAGCATATGGCTTCCTAGCAAGCAACTCACTAGCTCAAAACTGGAATATATTAGCCTTGGCACGGCCCCTTCGAAATCTTTTTCATCCGATCCCCTACGACGGTCGTATTACGTAGCCCGCAACGACCTCAGGACGACGTAATAATGGTGCACTACAACCAAATAAAGCCAGATCGGACAACAGTACCTGCTGATGCTCGGTTCACCGATCCACCACTTGTTCAAGACCAGGCACTGAGGACAGTGCCTCATTAGGAGAGGGGGTGGTGTAACGGCGTTAAAATCACTATGTATGACGTTGCTAACCCGTTCTGTTTTCTTTCTATTGCAGGGCGATCAAACATAAACACTCTGGAAGCTGAAGAACAAGCCTTGCGTGCTCTGAACTTACAGGATGACCCATAAGACTTTAGTAAGCAAGCAATCCCTTTTCTGCAAAACAAAACCCGCGTTATATAATTTTAAAATGAAGAGTGCCTTGGCTACCACTTCGTGTTCTCTCTTAGTGTGAAGTGTTAAGCTAACCTTGTGTGTTGTGATTTTAGACCTTATCCGCCCTTCAGTGACTGCTGATTACACGTGTTACAACGGATACATAATGTTGATGAAAATGTAAACTATGCAACTAAGCTATCTGATTCGCAAAGATTCACCAATTAATGTAAACTGCCAGGTAATAATATATCATAATTAGAACTACATCGAAAACGTTCAAAACGTATTCTTAACAAAAATGTTTAAGGAAAATGCAAAGCAAACTGATTAGTCACTATGCTCAATGCAATCACATGTAGGTTGTGAATAACTATTGGAAACAATGAAAAATTACTCACTGGTGTTCTGGTTTTTGCTTCCGCTAATACCATACTACGAGAAAGACTACCAGATTGAACAAAACAAGAGAAGAATGATGTAAGTGTATTTATAAGACCGAACGATAAAATTTCCTGAAAAAGTAAATTACGAACCAAATATGTATAGGTAGAAGACTTGACCAGTTGTCAGTAATAATTGAACATGAAGACATTAAATAATCCATAATGTAACTCGGTAAGATAAGGATTATGAAATTATCAAGTCGCTATTTCGAGTAGATTATTATACATTCTTAAACAGTAGAGCAGTAGAATATTCTGGTCATGTTATAATTAAACCGGGAGAGGTTAAGTAAATGTGTAGTTATGTGTGAAAAAGATTTTCAAAGTAAGCATTGAAACTTATTAGCACTGATGTACATTCAATGATCTTAGTCATAATTGTTCAGAAAGTAATCATCGCCGTTGTGATGACCTATCACTTTACAACCTTCCACGGTGTGAGCAGCCGGGAAGTGACAACCGCCCTCATACCCGTAACAGCACGCAAGACCAAATTGGTCAAAATCAAATCCTTCCTACACCCCCTAATGTCTCTTTTATCTCTACAACTAACTCTACTCACACTCCCTTTTCTCACTGCACCGCTAATGCAGACGAAGCGAGATCACGAAACGTCGTTCCTGGTCTCTTGAAACCCCGTTCTAGACTACATATTGGAGCTTTTAATGTACGGACATTGTGTCAAATAGGGCAACAGGCATCATTAGCTAGGACTTTAGAAACTCGTGCCATCGATGTATGCTGCGTCTCGGAAACGCGCATACAGGATCCTAGTAAAGTCATTAACCTGATTCCACCTTGTCAAAACGAAGAAGCAGCTCGATTTACTCTTCGGGTATCCGGTAGCCCTGATGCTGCTTCCAGGGGTCTTGCTGGTGTAGGCATAGCGTTGAGTCCTAGGGCAGAATTATCTCTCCTAGACTGGATCCCAGTAGATAGTCGCTTGTGCGCTGTCCGACTAAACGGGACAGTAAGGACTCGTAAGGATAGGGACACTCGCCGTTGCCTCTTCGTCATATCTGCCTATGCCCCCACTGACTGCAGTGCAAACGAGGTTAAAGATGAGTTTTACAGAAAGCTTTCGGACCTCCTCCAAAAAGCTAAGCGCTCTGACATAGTAATAATGGCTGGTGACTTTAATGCTCAAGTAGGTAGACTAGGTGAAAAGGAAAGACATCTTGGTGGATGTTATGGTGTAGCGACTGAGAGAACAGACAATGGTGACCGTCTGTTGCAACTGTACTCAGACAACCGCCTATTCTTAGCGAACACCAACTTTAGGCATAAGGAAAAGCATCTGTTGACCTGGCGACCTCCAAAGTCGTCTCAACGTTGGACACAACTAGATCACATCGCCATCAGCCACCGATGGAGGGGTTCGATGGAAGACTGTCGCTCGTTCTGGAGCACATGTTTGGATTCAGATCATGCTCTAGTGCGAGCTCGTATCTGTTTAAGGCTTACTGGACGTAGGAAAGACACCGTAAGAAAGCCTCTTAGGGTTTTACTTAATGATAATCAAACCAAGAAAATATTTCAGGAGCAACTAGAAAGAGAGTTAAGCAACCATGCAAGCGATTCCCATCCAGAAGCAGGTTGGTATGATATCAAAAAGGCTGTGGAAACAGCAGTGATATCTGCTAGGAAGGTAAACCATGAGGCTAGGATGAAGCCGTGGATTTCAGTCGCATCCACCGAACTGATGGATGCTCGAAAACGCATCCCACCTGACTCTGAGCATGATGAAGAGCGTAGTCAGCTTAGGCGCAGACTTATAAAAAGTCTGCGTAACGACCGCGAACAGTGGTGGATGGCGAAAGCAAAAGCGATGGAAAAGGCAGCGGCGATAGGCAACACTAGACAACTTTTCCGCCTTATCAAAGAAACCGGTATTAAGAACCCGAATGTGAGTGAGACTATCTCGGAAAAGGATGGTCTTATTATCCATTCTCAATCCAGGAGGCTGGATCGATGGGCAGAACACTTTAGGGATCAGTTCAACTGGCCACGAGCCACTCTTCAGTTACCCACGATCTCCAGTCATCCTGAATGGCAAATCGACGTAAGTCCCCCTAGTCTTAATGACGTTGAGAAAGCGTTAGGAAATCTGAAACGAGGACGAGCTGCAGGTCCTGATAGACTGACCCCTGAGATATTCAGGGATGGTGGTCCAGTTTTAGCAGCTAGATTGACTGAGATCTTAGGTAAAATCTGGGAACTGGACGTAATCCCATCCGACTGGTCTCAATCCTTGATTGTCCCAATCTATAAGAAAGGACAAAAGTCTTCTTGTGACAATCACAGAGGAATAAGTCTAACTAATATAGTTTCTAAAATATTGGCCTCAATAATACTTCGACGCTTAACGAAAGCTCGTGAAGAGCAGACTCGAGAAAACCAGGCTGGTTTTCGACCTGGACGTGGCTGTATAGACCACGTCTTCACACTCAGACAGGTCCTGGAACATAGACACACATTTAGGCGTCCGACAATAGTTGTTTTCCTAGACCTTAAGACGGCATTTGACTCTGTTGATCGTGAGGTTCTGTGGCAGTGTCTGTCATTGAAAGGTGTACCACAGAAGTACATTAACCTCATACAAGCTCTTTACTCGAACACCACTGGTCGGGTGAGGGCTTATGGCGAACTGTCACCGGAATTCTCTACATCAAGTGGTGTCCGTCAGGGATGTCCACTTTCTCCATTCTTGTTTAATTTTATCATAGACATGCTCCTAGACATAACATTATCCTCGTCTGAATTTTCAGGAGTAGACCTTCTTCCAGGTGGCTCGCTTATTGACTTAGAATATGCCGATGACATTGTCCTACTTGGTGAAGACGCTGACAAAATGCAGAGTCTTCTGACTACCCTAAGCAACAATGCAAGCATGTTCGGGATGCGGTTTTCCCCGTCGAAATGCAAAATGTTGCTTCAAGACTGGGTTGCATTGGCACCTGAACTAGTGATAGGGAGTGAAGTGGTTGAACGTGTAGACCGCTTCACTTATCTTGGGAGTCTCATCAGTGCCGATGGCCTGGTGACTGACGAAATCTCAGCACGGATACAGAAGGCTCGATTGGCTTTTGCCAACCTGCGTCACTTATGGCGTAGGCGAGATATCCGTTTGCTGACTAAAGGACGAGTGTACTGCGCAGTGGTTCGCTCCGTCTTACTTTATGGCTGTGAAACATGGCCAGTGAGAGTAGAAGATATTCGTAGGTTACTGGTTTTCGATCATAGGTGTCTTCGAAGCATTGCTCGTATATCGTGGGACACCCGAGTGAGCAACGCTGTTATTAGGAATCGGGTGCTAGGTAAGAATGGCAGATCAATCGATGAAGTATTGAAACTTCACCAGTTGAGGTGGTTGGGACATGTGTTGCGTATGCCGAACCACCGACTGCCTCGAAGAGCTTTGTTTTGTAGTGTAGGAGTAGTTTGGAAGAAAGTTAGGGGCGGCCAAACCAAAACATGGCAGAAATCCATGAAGTCATTGACTAGTGGACTGAGCCATGTCGGTAATTGTCGACTACCTGGTTGGGGTCCGCGAGATGATAATAATCGATGGTTAGAGACCTTGAATGACATGGCTCAAAATCGTTCGCAATGGCGCCAGTGCATTTATTCTCTGTGTTCTCTCAAATGCTAATCTTCTGGATTCTTCAACCCCTCTAGTTTCGACTCTCTAAACTTTTCTCACTGAATCATACTTCTTGAGTAGTATCTTCTAATCGTAACCTCTCCGATTATTTCTAATTCCCTTACTACCTCTTCTACTATTGGATTTGAATTGACGATTACTTCTCTGTGCTGATGTGGTATGGCAACATGAACTGATGTACTTATGTACAAAGTTCTACGTTGCATATGACTGACTGACTGACTGACTTCATTGTGATTTAGCTCATGGGTTGAATCTAATGACTAATATTTTCGAACTACTATTTGTAGTTATTAGTAGGTAATAACTGTCTATCCTAACTAATTTGACTGATTTTAAGATAATATCTCTCATTAAACATTAAAGACGTATTCAGATTACCTGAATTATTTCTAAGTTTCATCAATCTTCTTATTATGGATGATATGAGCTCTCATTGGAATTATCTGTGCTACTTAAATTGCTTGAATGGAAAAAATATATATATTAGGCCGGCAATTGTTTTATTTATGTAACAAGTAGTGTCCTTAAAATAAATCTCAATACCTTTTCAGCTTCAATGATTAAATTTATTAAGCCTAGTGCATCAAAAATTGATCAAAAGATTATTTGTTACTGACTCTATTCAAATTTATTTAATACTAACAAGTCTCACAAATTTGGTATTGTCATTAAAACTAGTAAGTAGATTATCTGTAAAGGTTAGGTATTTCCTAGCTGTGGATGCTCAAAGCTACTGGCATATCGGAATTCTGATAGGCTTGATTTAGCTTCGTCGTCTAACCAGCAATGAGATCTATGGTTCGTGCTTTCCAGCCGAATGTACTCGATTTCACTATGCTGCTTATATGCATGCATTTTCATCATAAATTAGTATTTTGGTCGGGAAGAACTATTGAAAACCAGTGGATAAACCCAACTGTCAAATATGAATTTTTAATATTGGGGGGAACTTTAAAAACGAGAACGAAACAGCTGTCTAGTGTTTTCTTGTAAAGAAAGCTCAAAAACCAAATGATAACCACGTATTCGTTTATGAATAAATCAAGAGTTATATGATATGAATTAAGCAAAGAGATCCTAAAAGAAAGTATGGTATAATCAATCAATAATATAAATCAAAATAACTGCGAAATCAAATGGTTATTTGAATGTAAGTCAGTGAATAAAGGATTAAATCAGGAAGACATCGAAAACTGCCAACTTTTATATGCTTTAAAGCATGATACACAAAAATATACAAGATACCTGCAACTATTCATAATATCATATATTCTTGGACATTTAAATTTTCACTTACATGATTAAAATTAATTTTATTGCGATATTTTAAAGCGAATAATTTCACTAAGGACACTGATAAGAATGTATTAACAAATCCAATTAGAATAGCATCTGGTAGTAAATCTGGAATTAAACGCCAATATGGTACTGTAATCTGTGGCATTCTGTCAGTTGGGAGAAAGTTAAAACAAAACATGGATGTATATTATGTTGCATTGAATAATAAATGACTAGAATTACAATTTTGTAATGATTAGGTGAGTTTTCTCATGGATTGATATCATTTGTAGAGCCATTGAAAACCAGAAATTATTTAACATCTGTTTCATTCTGGTACAAGTAGTCATGAGAATTCTACTTCCAAAGTCGACTAAACTTCATAAATTTATGAACATTAATTACTGATTTTTCGATGAAATCCTGAAATTCTAATGCGTTCGTCATGACCGAATAAGTCAAGTTATTTTGCGAATGTGACTACAATCACAGTTGACAATATATAGCACTGGTTAGTCCTTTAGCCGTACAGATGTAATTTACTCAATGTGAAACATGAATATGTTCACATTCCACACTAGGAATGGACTTAACAAAGCTCTACTTAGGAGTCACATACTAGAGTGGTTTCCGATTTCCAACCGAGTCTAAACTGATATTCATTGATGATGAATAATTTCGACAAATGTTCACTTCTTCATAAGTGTACATATCGTGGATTATATCCAGTTATTCCCGATAAATTATCTTTATGCTTTATATGTATATATATATATATATATATATATATATATATATATATATATATGTAGTGCTTACCCGCTAGCAATGTAACCTACAATCGAAACATTCTTAGTTGAGTGCAAATTCATTTTGGCAGAAGTCAAAGTGCCCAAAGCAACCTAATATAAAAGAAAAATAAGAATTTTAATTTGGTAACTTTTAAAGAAAACAATATACTAGCAAACTATGTAACATAATATATCGTTAACGTACATAAATTATACAACAATATCTTATTGTACATCTGATATAGTGATGTTTAGACAACATTGGTTAGTATCAAAGTACCAAAACCAGTCGATCATTAATTTAGAGTAGTTCAGTTTTTTTAAGATTAATATTAACAAGTGAAATTGTTTTCAGTGTGTTTTCAATAAATACTTAATTCATTGTCATCACAGTGAATACTTGAACATTAGAACCAATATGTCACCTCTAACAGCATAACTTTGATTTTAATCAATTTGGTATTTTGTGTAACGATTACACAATAACATTGACGACATGTCAGAATTTCATTAGTCACAATTTCTCAGAAGAACTACAGGAAAATCTTCAAGTAATTGTCTGTGGAACTGACTTTGATAGTTTAATTGAAGCTATTCTGAATGAGTTTGAGAAATACTTTCAGTTCTATAAACTGACACAAATAATAATGACTTTATTTAATATTATATAATTAGTACAATATGATATTCTCAGCATGGATTATTTCAACAAGTTTCCTGTCCAAAACAATCAGTAGAAGTAGTTGAAGAATAGATATCTTATTAAAATTCATTCTTTTCTCAGCGGATTATCAGCTACTGCGACAGGCCGATTGTACATTTTTGTACCTTGTGAAGCCATAGCTTGCAAACATTTTGCTTGCTCACCTGAATAAATTATGCGATTAGTAGACAAAATCGACATGTGAAAGCAAAAATACAATGGGGTAACTTTGTGAAATATTTAATGCCAAACTATTCAAGCGGGTTTTTATGTTGTAAAATATTAAAATTTAATGTATCTATGTTGGAATAAATTCAGTATAGGTCATATTTACTTCTAACATCAAAAATATGATAAAATGTCTATTAGACAGTGGCTAATTTTTAATTGGTATTTTTACTCGTAAAGATTTATCATGAATAACACCAAAACAATAAACTTTAGCCATGTTTACACTTTCATTTTTCCCTCGAAAATGCAGGGCACTGACATATTTCTTCTTACTCATATCCTCTTCTCTGAAGCATCGATTCATTCAGAAAAGATAAAATCGTTTGTGAGGACTATGTGAAATTGTACATTACCTCCACTGTTCAAATATTATTTATTTCATCCAATCAAACAGATATTAATCGAATTACCAGTCTGAAAGTTTGATTAATTTCAAGCATCTTAAATGTGGCAGATACAATTTGCAGCTACGGTGGATACTTCTAATGATACATAGACCTCTGACTCAAACTCTCTAACTTTAGATCTTTTATGTCACTCTGAATAACATTACCTGTAGAATCACAACGAGAACTCAGTTTGAAATATTTATCCCAGCAAATTTGATACAGTCAGATGTTCCGAAATTGTTTAGAGATTCAATAAAAATGTAGAAATTATGCAATCGGTTTAATTATATAAAATAATTAGTATCAACAAAATAAAAAATGATAATTTATTGACTCAAAAAAGCAAGCATTTACCAAAATCAATTCAGTTGGTATTGGAATCTTTAAATGTACATATTTTTGCAACAAGGGTTCGATACCATCTTTAATAATTACTAAAAATGCAATCGATATAGCAGATATAAGTAGTGTGTACAAATTCGTATCACGTATATTTTTGAACAAATTCACATAGACCTGGAATAGTAAACAGTATTTGTATACACATAGTTACATTATAAACATTGAATTAATTTACCAAACGTATCAAAATAAACATTTATTTTGAGTTTAGGACTCAATAGTGAATACAACTTATTCTTATTCAATGTTCAATCAATTGTAAGTATGGAAAGTCAGTCGTGCCTACAATAACTCGGTGGTGATGTCCCAGATTGTGAAGTTTAATAATAGTTGAAAGTAGGCCTAGTTAGTGAGTTCAAACTGGCAGGAAATCTGTATATGTAACTCTACAGCGACTACCTACAACCACCTAGCGATTGACTTGGTCAGAAGCGTTTGATATTAATTGACAAACAGTGTCAATTTATGACGACAGGTATGAGTAAAAAACTTCTTTTGGATAAATTAACAAGTTGGTTCTTACTTCAGATACATCATTCATCAAGTTCGTTTCCGTATTATATGAATCTAGCAACATCAAGATACTGATCAGACCAAATGAATGTGGTACGAAATTACTACGAAAAATAAAATTTTTCTAACAAAAGATGATGAGCAACCTATATTTTAAATAAAGCTGGATATTAGAGATAATGGTTCTCCAAATACTAAGTAGCAGGTGGAAATAAATTAGTCAGATTTATTTACAAAGATTTCCGTTTAATTCTTTCAGTATCAATTAATTCAATGTGAATTTCACTCATTCAATATATCTTATTTTTTTGATAACTTGATTCGGTATGATATTTCGTTCAAGTAATAATCGTTCTACTTGATTAATTTTCTAACTAATAATCACTGAATGTAATCGATAAATAGTTTAATGAATTCGAGTGTGAATTGATTCTCTTCCAAATACAAACCTTTCTCATTAGATTTATGTTTTGGAGCAACCGAGATGAATAGATGAGCTATCGTATCGTAACATAAAAATGAAATTAAAATTATCACTGTCATTGCTAATAAATCACTGAGTCAGAGCACCAGTGACTTCAGACTATTATTAAGTGTATAATAATAACATGTTAATTAGTGTAAACCTGTTAGTCTTAAGCTCGATTACGCATGCCGCCAGAAGCATAAACTGTTATTGGAGAAAATAGCTTTCCGAGTGTGTTTACAATTTTTCATTGATGAATTAATTGTCATCAGTCAGTTAGAAAATTACGCAAGACAAATGAAAATCTAAGTCAATGCAATTTATTACCATATGTAACAATTCAAAATAACAGCAAATGAAGATAGCCATTTGTTATCTGATATACTGGTTGAATCATCGTTTCCATTGTATATAAATGATACTTTGATTTCTTTATAAGATGTACTATCGATTTTACAAGAAAACTACTGATTCGGTTATCCTAAACCTTAATTTTTCTTCAAATCTCAAAGTGAACATAGGACATTTCAACCATTGAACATGAATTCAATTAATCTTAAGATATAGCATTTGGAACACACACTAGGATGAAACAACTGTTACCGGGGCTTCATAATTTTCCCTGCCTCTCCATTGGCTAGATATGAGCAAATAAATGGGAGAGGTGGAGATTTAAGAACTATTGTATTCATATTTATAGCATGTTTGTTAAATATAGCTACTGTTAAGTAATTCGTTTGCAATCAACAACTTAATCCACTGTATAAGTGAACCTACATAAATTAGTATAATGAGAAAAATGTTTTGTCTACTATACAAAACGAATTAAGGAAATCTATTATTAATGATCATATTTAATATCAATTATTATCTGTGTTCTATCTAATTTGTTTAATATTGACATATATTTAGTGCATTTCAATAATTTGACGCTGAACTCTAGTTTACTGTAAGAGTCAATCGCTGAGTTTATTACCCTAAAATGTTTCAAACAAACAGTATAAAAGTATTCTTTCATAACGAAACGTCGCTTAAAATACGCCTAAAGACTTCAAGACCTGAACCAATAAGATTTATTATAGTGACACATGGATAGCGTTCCCGTGATTTCAGCCGATAAGGCGGAAACCCTGATCCTAATTCTTAACCACAACCTTTAACCTGAAATCTTAATCCCAAGTCTTTATATTACTTCATGATACTATTATGAAATTAATAAATAGTCATACTTTCACAAGATAACTTTACTGTAGCTCAAATGTCGACGACAAATCATTGTCTTGCTCCCTAATGATCATGAAATAAGAGTGTTTTAAATTAACATAGACATATATGAGGCGTGTAAATTGACCGAACTTGATGTTTCTTTATCGAATCTTATGTGTCATTTACGCAATCAGTTACGTGCACAGTTTGATCACGTGATTCATTCTGCGTCATAGTATTATCAGTAATAACTGTTATGACGTTGTTATGTGCACGTTTCTGCGACCAGATAGCTCAGCATGGCTGATTAATGGTTTATTTATGATTCGATTTACAATATATATATAATCGATACCGATAGTATATAAATTTACTACAAGTGACCATAAAAATGTCCAAATAAGTAGTTTTAAAATCAACTGTTTTCACCTATCTAAATAACTATGTGTAGTCTAGTTTAAAAAAACATATCTAACAAACCAAAACGTAGTGCTTTCAGATGACCTTAGAAATCAATTTACAAATATATAAACGTCTGAAAATAGTCTACTGGAACACACTCAAAACACGTTTATACCAGTTTTGAATTCTACGCATAAATCAATCAATTCTTTTCTACAAATCATCAAATTGACCAATGTGATAATGGCATCAAGTAATTTGCATAAGTGTACACAATTTGTAGGTTGTATACTGTGTGTGATACGCCTATAAGAAACTTGAACATAATCGTACCAATCAAATAAATAAAATTTTTTTTTAAGAATTATTGAGATGAGTTTAATTTGATGAAGTGGTCTTGTCATCGAACGATTCCATAAGTCACTCAGATCAGCACTTGTACATTCCTATCATGTTGTTCCGAAATTCCGTTGTGATAAACCGTAAAACCAAACTCTCCCTAAAGTTTGTTTTCATTATAAACTGACGGCAAATGGAGATATTCTGGAAACTTGAATGCACTAGACAGTCGAATCATCCTAATATGAAATTCTCCAGTTCAACATATATTATGCATTCACCCAATATTTTCGTCTTTTGTCAAAACAGGTCATAAGACTGATCATTACCAAGCTTTTATGGTATTGTAGAAAAGTTGTCTAAGCTGATTTCTTAGGTTTGCTGAATTTCTATCCCAACGAAAATTCACCACCACTATGTTCATAAACAATTTGTATTCATACTAAATCTGACGTTGTAATTTTGATTTATTATTTATATTTAGTCATACAATTCTTGGTATTAACTGGGTACGGTTTATCGTATTCCATGTTAGACGATCAATAATTTGAATTTTATCTACTCGTTATGGTAAAGTGACTTTGGGACTGAATATAATCTAAGTGAACAGTTCTTTACAAAATAAACAATATGCACTTAATCTTAAATTTACACACCGTGTTTTATGCAAATTAGGGGGTTAGTGTCAAGTTAGCCTACATACAGTTTACCAGTAATAGCCAAGACAGCTAGTTGTAGATGAGTGATTATTATTAATTTATGTGAAAAAAGGTACTTGCTTGGTTTGATTGTATTTATTTATTTATTCTTTTTTTTGCACCCTACAGTAGGGTACAAATCAGTGCATCATTCACTCGAGTATCGATTATTGCTAGACAATAGTGCGTATTAGCATTACTGTTATCAGTAAAAGAATAATGTATAGACGAGCTTAAAACAACCGCAAGGTGTTCATAGACAATCAGCAAAATGCATTTCGTAAATGGACAATTTATAGGACAATAATAATATTAATAACAAGTGTAAATATATTTCACATCTTGAGATGTTGGAGAAAACTTGTAGCTCAGGTGGATGATTGTGGTGTTTCGTTCTCTGAGCTCAGACAACACAATATTTCACATCATCAATAAAACTATTGAAGTCCTCTACAGATTATTCTGTTTTTAAACCGAAAAAAATGATGACATATGAATTTCCCCTAATGGATATAGTCTCTCCGTCTTCTAGAACCTTCGCACGAGACCAAATAAATTTTTGAAAATCTCCCCATCTAGCCTAGTTAGGATTTAGTATGTAGGGTTATAAATATGGGTTTAGAGTTAGAGCTTTCATTAAGAACTAACATCAGCTATAATGTAAAAGTGCTCTGAAGTCACATAGTTGAATGAATTGTCATCAAAAATTCAAGAGTTGTTACATGACTTATTCTTCAAGAGGATAATGTGCACCGGGTTACAGATTGTCTCAGAACTAAGGGTTTAAGGTTGGAAATTGGGGAAATTATCTATTCTCTTGTCATATACATTCGACAGAGATGGAATTGAGCATATGGAGTGCTTAACACCATCATTTTTACTCCGTATCAGTAAAAAGTAATTTTTATCTGTCCTTCTACATTTTGAGTACTTTAGACAGGCATTTCTATTCATGGTTATACACAATGTTTGAATTTCACTTAAAAACCTAAAATTCATGTTTTCGTATCCGATTGGCTCATCCCTGTACTATGCTTTTACTATCCACGTAATTTAATCGTGCAACGGAGTCCAGTGATTTCGAATACACTTTACGCCTACATGACCAATAACCACTTCAATCAATAATATGAATAGTCGTCAATAAAATATTATCAGCAACGATTGTCGAAATCTGCGCCTCTATTGGTCTAAAGAACTAACATCCTCGATATCCAGTTACAGGATGAAAGTAGTAGACTAATGAGTCGTTGATTATTATCTAATTATTATGACTCAAATATTCAAAGAGTCATAAACTTAATAATTCAGACCTGCGAATATCAGACCGCACTTACACATAACAAATGCATAAGTGAGAAAAAACGGAACAGTATATGAATAATCGATTCATTATCATTCTGAAAGAATAAAACATATATCAACAACTAATAAGTTGAATGAAAACCCATAATTAGGCCAATACAAAAAAGGTATAACCAAAACAATACACAGCTCTGTTCTGTCACACTTGATTGTGGAAAGTAATTTATCGTATACTTACCAGCTTTCCTTATGGAGTTCAATCTTGTCTCTTACACATAACCGTATCCATTGGGCATCAAACCAACAATCTAAGTCTTTGTATTCATACGAAATATGTAACACCTCTATCTTTTTCTTTGCTGAATGAACCTTACCAAACGATTTTATTGATAATTACTTTCCACACTGTTTGTTCGTTCACTTTTTTTCAGTCTTCACAGCCTTTCTAACAATACGAACCTTAGCATCCACTTATTCTAACACTTCTTATTACGTAATTTTCTAATTTTAATAATTGTTATTTCAGAATCTAGTTTTTCAAGTCGTCAGCTTACTAATTCATGTGTTTACTATTCTTGTTACAACCAGCACACCTGTCATCATACTTGTAAGCATTCAAACCCATTATTATCAATGACTCATAAACTGACTTGAGTGGCTTAATTAATTAATTACACAATAAAATTAGATGCAATTATTTCTTATAAAATAATTCTAAAAGTTTCACTTCTTTTAAATATTCGCTCCGATCTAGCATTTATACCCTCTAGTTTTTAATCATTTAAAAAATTTACATTCTCTGTGACTAGCAATTGATGCAGTAAAACAAATTACAAAACTTCATTTCATGACAAATGATCAATGATTTAATTTAAAAAAAAATTTATTCAACTAACCATAAAAAATGAACCAGGTCCTTGGTATTTTTTCGCAGCCTTGACACCAAACAATGAACTAATCTGACTGCTTAAAACATGAAAACCTGCACCCGATGTATAACCCGATACCATTGATGGTGCCAAATAAGATGTAAATGTGCCCAGTTGACAAAAGCCAATGATAAGCTTTCAATGACCAGAGGAAAAATACAATTTTATTATACGAAAAAGGAGATAGCGGAAAGGAAAACAGAACAAAAAGAAATAGATGTAGTCGATTTGTAAGGAAATGTTTCAAGAGATTTTCAACAAATAAAAAAAGTAAATGATTTATTTGTGTTTATTCGATGTTGTTCAATTCTGTTGCTGCTCATCTTTCTCTCAAATCACATGCTTTTAACTTACCGCAATTATTCTGATAAACGCTTCTTTTAGTATATAGTTCATTCACACGAAGTTATCATTATCATCATTGCAATCAATTAGACAAAAATTTTCTTGCCATGTATTATATTCATGTATCATTCAATCATATCGAGTGTAATTCAACAACGTGGAACGAATGAATAACTTTTCCAATCTATAATTGACTATTTTGATGCACTAAAATAGAAAGATTCACCATTTTATGCATGGTCCTTGGTGCTGACTGAATTTTATCGATCGAGTTGCAATGTGATCGTTAGTCTGAAAGACTTAACATCAGAAGTATATTCTTTTAATAGGTGGTTGAAAGTAGTTGGTAGGAAATCATGTATCTAAGTTTTGTCCGAGTTAACACATGTCTACAGGTTTGTCTGTAATCTTGAGGAACCTCAAGTTCTCACTGAAATTCAAATTCGTGGTAGTTAGTTTCACAATGTGAAACGTTACTACTGACGTAGTTGAGGACTGAGTAATTTATAATTGCCCTGAAATTCGATGAATGGAAGAGATCAACCGGAGAGCTTTGAATTTCTAATTGTTTCATTGTATGACAATTATTCAATTGTAGCCCGAATGGTTTCGTGGTAATTTTGTCTGAGTTTAAAATAATTGTTTGCGAGGGTTTGAGTCCCAACACAGAGTTAGTTCTTTCTAAGACTGAAGTTAAGCATCATGGAAAGCTAACATAGTAGCGTGAAATTTAGGTTCATACTGATTATTTAGAAGTACCTAATATACGATGGATTATCATTATTATTATTATTATTAATATTATTACTATAGTATTAGTAGTTGTGATAACAATAAACCACCACTGCAAAAGTATAGCATATCAGATATTATTATTTAATCTTGAGTAGAAAACAAAAATTTCTAAAATTTTTAATTAACTCTTATTTTAATCATCATCATATGAGAAAAATAATTAAATCTAGCTTGTTGAAGGAGGAACACATTCAGACGAGGCTAGCCTATTAAGTTTGTTTCTTTTCATTAAAATTAAATTAAAATACATTCTTAAACTATCAGATTGCAAAAAGTTTGTCATTCTTTTTTCAATGAAATCTACAACTATAAATTCGCAGTTTACTAGTATTTGATCAAAGACACTTATGAAGCATTGTTCCTCTACGTTGGGACCATCGAGTAAAAAATGTTGTAGTTAGAAGAAAAGTGCTAGTTAGGATGGAAAATCAATGTTTGTGGTACTAGTAGTCAGTCAACCAGTCAGTTGCAACGTGGAACTTCGTATGTGAGTACATCAGTTCATGTTGCTATACCACATTGGCACAGAGACGCAGTTGTCAATTCAAATGCCATAATGGTAAAGATAGTAGAACAATTACTGCTAATAGAGAAGATTAGGATTTGAAGATAATATTCAAGAAGTGTAATTCAGTGAGATAAGTTTAGAAAGAGAAAGGTAGAGGTGTTGACAAATCCAGAAGATTAAGATTTGAGAGAACACAAAGAGTGGATACACCAGCGCCATTGCAAACGATTTTGAGCCATGTCATTCAAGGTCTCTAACCATCGGTGACATTCGTCTCGCGGACCCCAACTAGGTAGCCTACTACCTGGTAGTAGCAGTAGTAGTAGTAGTAGTAGTAGTAGTGAAATTTTACCAGTCTAGATGGTACAGAAATGCGCTAAGTATACCCGATACCCTCGCATCTTGATGTCAGTTTGGAGATGGGTTTTCAGAAGCAACAGGTGACCAACTCAAGATATAACATTATTTCATGAAGTTATCGACTGTAGTATTAGGTTGTATTCGTAGGTACACACTATCTGATTTGAATCCACTTAACGGTCACAATCTAAAATTGAAGAGGATAGATGTTATAACTGAGAATCAGTAATAATGGCTAAAATACATTTACTATTTCTTCCCTTATATCTTGAGCTTTTTTAGTTATTGAATATTTTTTATTCAGTGGATTTATTCCTTCTTCTTGAATCACATCGATTACTGCAAAATTTACCTCGATAATTTCATCTGATTGTGTCGATATATAGAAACAGATACAGATGCGTGCTAAGTTCTCTCTCTGTTGCTTATAGCTGACCGACTTTTGTTTCAGACTAAATAAACTAATTAATTTATTGAATGAATGAATGAATGAATGAATGAATGAATGAAATAAGTAAATTAATCTGTTGATTTAAAGTTGATTCACGATTTTGTTAATTATGACTAATTTCCGGTTATGTATAATCTCCTGTTATATATTACAGGTAATTATTACAAACTTGCACACCTTCATAGACTGCACCTATATAGACTGCATTTTAATAAAAGGATAGTAAATGACAATAAATGGAAAAGTTTAATGTATGAATTATTTTCATGATGAGATTTTGGATTGACATTATTTCTCAATCATTCTGTCGCTCTCTCGTTATATATATTTAACTTTTACTGCTACTACTACTAATAATAATAATAATAATAATAATAATAATAACAATAATAATTACTAATATTCCTATTATTATTTTCATATAGACCTATTAATCCTATATTGATATTAAGTGAATAGAAGAGTCATTATAATGTACTCCCGAAATTCGCGAAAAATCGAAACCAAACTATTCATTTTTACAGCCATAATGATACTGAACTACTGAATGAAAATAAAAATGGTATATAATCCTATCATGAGTTATCGTTGATTGTATATTGATTGATTAAAACGTACCACTTTAAACCTGTCAAAATTTGCTAATATCAATCAAGTGATTCAAGTGGTACCTTGTCAACTAATTTATTTAAACTTATACAGTCTAAAATAAAAAAAAAAGCTTAAATTACGGCACATCACATATTCAGTTCATCTATTGAATGAAACGTTTCTATCTTGAATCATTTTGCAACACTGAACAACCGTTATCCATCGCCATTGATGATATATGTTTCGTGAATATAGTTTTTTGTTCTGTTCATAAATAAACAAGTCAACAATCATAATATCCTTCACATACCCATTAGTATCATTTAATTTGACCATAGTACACCATATTTTCATCCAATTAATCAATAAGTAATTTCGTTATGTTAACCATTTTAGGAAGTTTTGAGCTATTTACAGACGTTCTACCAGATAACTGTAGTTGAGAATCATGGTTGTTAGAGTCGGGTTGCAAAACAACAATCGATTCACTCAAAAAACTTAGTCATTTTAGTCAAGGTTTTGAACGAATTCGAGAAATGTAAAAAAAACTTTCAAAGTATCGTCACTACGGTGTTGTTTAGAGTGTTTGATTTAATTGGAATCACCAAGCACTGAATGGTCACTTCTTCCTAGAATGAGACCCCTCTTCAGCACATATTCGTGACACCCTAACTGGGAATCAAACCCAGTGTTGGTTTGCGATCTCAATGAAATCATGACTTCACACCGACAATTATCATGTTTTGATTAGCAACTTGAATGAAGATAAGATCTCCTCAGTTCTGGTGAGAAGCTATAACCAATGAAGTTCAGCTGTGTGAATCAGTTACTAAGCAATTCGATGGGATTATTTTTGCGAAATATCGCAAACTGGTTAAATTTAGGAATTTGAACTATTTGCTAACAATTTAAAGGTCTAACAGTTAAGCTCTCATATTTTGGAACATGAAGGGCTTCTATTCGAGTCGGAATTAGGTTTCAGATGCTCACTATTGAACAGTTCCATGCTAGGATGTAGTACGTAAACAAACCATTAGAGATTCTTCCCAATCTATATTTGCATACAGTCTAGGAATTTAGATTTATAGATTTACCAAGCTTAATCTTAGTAGGTTTGTTTAGCAAAATCTGTTATGGCTGTATGTATCTTCAAAGCATCCAGCATGAAAATCTTTTAAAAAAACATCATCATGCGAACATAGTTAATCATGATAAAAAGTTGAAAATGTTGAATATAAAGATCATTGGAATTTTCGCAAAATTAAATAAAAAATCAGGACTTACTTGTATAATTCCGATTAGGAAACTAAGCGTCATAGCCACAACTGCTCTTGGTTCTGTATATTTTACTGGTAACTTGTTGGTTATTACATGTTTAACTAGTGTAGAATTTGCATTTACAATAGAGTCATGATGACTAACTTCAACCTTTGAAATATGTTGTTCAATGGGACCAACAATCAATAGGCTTACAACAGCGAATGTACCTAAATTGAACAAAATCAGTTATTTTTGGTAAATATAAGGTATAGTAAATTCTAATATCTGACCACTTTCCACAAGACCTAAATGTATCAGTGGGTAGATGCATACTATTAAAACTAAACAGCTAACCAATACCCCCTGTACCTCAGTCGTACCTTAACTGAGATTAATTTGTGACAGATGCAAAGAAGAATCACTTAGATAATATAACGTTTCGTTTGGTTACGTAACCCAGTCAGAATTAAGGAATATCAACTTTTGTTTAAGTGAAACTACTATTTTATCAATTTTCATCATTACTTACTACTTATTTATCAAGTTCACTTCAAGTGACCCTAAACACCAAGCACAATTAGCATGAAGAAATAGTTCTATGGTATTTGATTATTGCTCATTTTAAATAAAAACTTATCTATAACGGTAAGAAAAAAAATGTCTTCATCTCAGATTTGTAACCTTATAATCAGAGGAAGTTTCAAAAATCTATATTGACTATTTTCAAAATTTAAGTTGAATCCAATATATGGATAGGTATTATTGCATAGTTTATGATTTCACAAGTTGAGATGATCAGGCTTATAATACATACAATCGGTTGATCGCTGAGTAGTGACTAACATCATGTTTGTTTAGTACTTTGGTGTCCATTGAATCTTATCGATCAGGCTACAATGTGGCCACTGATAACTCGATATCATGTAAACTATGTTGGCATGTTCGGTAATGGGAGGTAACCGATAGCAAAAACCCGGGATGTAGGTTTTGCGCAAGTTAACACTCGCCAGTAAGGCACAACTATAATCTTGAGGGAACTGATTCTCTTTGTTGAATTCATGGTATTATAATCCTTCTGTAAGATTCAAGTGTTACAGTTGATTGATCCACTACCTACAACCATCTAGCATCTCAAACTTCTAATATGTTTTCCTACTATCAACACAACCTGAAAATTATCATTATGATGAGATAGATGATGAAAATTTTCCAATGGGAATTTTATCAACTGTGTAGTTAATTCGTTAAGCAACAACATGTTTGGTCAGTAGCAATGCTTTTTTTCCTAAAATGACTGTCATTTCAAAAATAATCATCTCTTTATAATCGAATGCTTACAATTCTTGGATTCATTGTAAATTACATTTAATGGTTATCAGTATAAAGAATAATTACATTCTGTTTGATTTTTTAGTTTACTTCTACTTTTGATAGTAATAAAAAAAAACTTTTTCATATTATTAAGACAATATTTAAATAATTCCTTTTCATCGATGTATGCAAAATATGTGCAACTGGAAGTCATATTATTTTAATGTCAGATGATTAGAAATAATTAGTAGGAGTAAGTAGTAATCTACTTCTTGTATTGTTTAGGAATTCTTAACAAGGCAAATTTATGGTTTTTGTCAATACAACTACACTGAGTTGAGTTTGAAATATTATCAAATAGTGTCAAAGTTAGAGACCTTACGTTTAAGCCAACTGAAGGACAACTAACCTCTTGTCAGATTGGAATATGTACATTGATCGATCACTGAATAGTAAGTAGCTAATGTCTTGCTTCATAAGCTAAGCGAGATCAGGTATATCATCTGTTTGCGTTTATTAAGCGTTATCTAACGGTCAAATGCTAGGTGAGAGATAATTAATCAAGCATGCTGATGGATAGGGCTGATGATTTAAGTTGTCAAGGTCTTATCTTATATATATATGTGAGACAGATGTACAAAAATAAGTTGACTTTGACATGATTTATCAGTTATAGCTTCGTACTTACTTTTACTCTTTTCACTCATGTTTTAAAGTATGTGTACCAAGATAAGAATAGAACAACTAAAGGAAGTAACTTTTCATCATTCACTAATAGCTGATTTTAGTCAGATTTTATCGATGAATTTACAAAACTCTTTTATTGGGAATTAAGTTCGAATCACACGAGAAGTATCATTTAAATCAAGATAGATAAACTTTGTTGAATAATACCAGCTAGTAGAAAACTTGTATTCAGAGTTTTCTGTTATCTGACTAACATATATAATCCAGTCCAGTTGTTACGTTGCTGCCTAATCAACAGAATGTAATAAGCAGTAGGGACTAGACAACCAGGAAGTGGTGAACGATTGTTTCGTCTTAGATCAATTATCTGGTGAAATTGTGAATGCTGTTTACATCTTCCTTCTTTTCAATAGTTGTCTAGCTAAGATCAGTTGGTAATTGTAAATTTCACGGTTCAATCGCATCTAGACTTCAACATTTCTGAGCATGAAATCGAATAGACTAAGAGTATTGAACCTTGTCTAGTAATCAGTTTACGTTGTTAGATTTATTAAAAATGTTTTCTGCAAATTATTTAGTCGAATCTTGAGAAATAAACTAGATTTTTTTTGAGGAATTTTATTTAAACTCACTTTTATACACATAATAAATATTTGCTCAATTTTACATTCAAAATATTAAAACTAATAATTTTATTGAAACCATGAATTGACCAATGTTAGACCACCATTAGAAACCTGGAAGCACTGGACGGCCGTTTCGTCATGGTATGAGACTCCTCAGCAGTGCGCATCCACGACTCCTGCACCCCGCAGGATTCGAACCCAGGGCCTTCGGTATTGTAGGCGAACGCCCTAACCATCGGACCACTGAACCGGAGCCTAACGGTGTTAATGTCTAACTTGATCAAATTCACGCAGTTGCGCAACCTCATACACAGTCTTCGGTAGTTACTGTCTCCACCCGAACGGGTTGAACTTCACTGGTCACGTCTTCCTACTAGAACTTGGAGAAGATTCCTCACCAAGCTAGTCGCTAGTGAGCAAAGGTAATTTCTATTACGGGGAAGAAGATTGTTAAGAGAGAAGATTGTTAAGTTTTATTGAAGTTCAACCTGTTCGGGTGTAGACAGTAACTACCGAAGACTGTGTGTGAGGTTGCGCAACTCCGTGAATTTGATCAAGTTAGACATTAACATCGTTAGGCTCCGGTTCAGTGGTCCGATGGTTAGGGCGTTCGCCTACAATACCGAAGGCCCTGGGTTCGAATCCTGCGGGGTGCAGGAGTCGTGGATGCGCACTGCTGAGGAGTCTCATACCATGACGAAACGGCCGTCCAGTGCTTCCAGGTTTCTAATGGTGGTCTAACACTGGTCAATTCATGGTTTCAATAAAACTTAACAATCTTCACGACCCCGTAATACAAAAAATAATAATAATTCATAATTATTATCTACAACTGAAATTAAAAGAATCACTTAGTTGATTTCCTATGGTTAAATAAATAAAAAAAAGTCAATTATCTTTACTTCCTTTCATTTAATTGAATTTTTATTCATAATGATTACTGAGGAATATAAACAATGCAATGAATAAAATGTTACTTTTTGGAATTATTTCATTTATTATTTAAGTTGTATAATTGTATTTATTAGTTAATGTATTTGTTAGAAACAGTAGTTTATAGTAAAATAGAATGACGTTGAATTAGAATGATTAGTTGCAATCCTCTCTGTTGATGAGAAGTCAAGTAACGAGTTTTTTGTATATTTTTAATAAGTGACTAGCAATGGTGTTTACAACATGCGTTTCATCTGATTTCAGATAAGTCAGTTAGATGTACCTGCGTCGCTGCAATGTTGATGTTTGCACTGAGATTCGAACCTAATAGCCTTTCACTTTCAATGCTCATTGTATTATTTTCTAAACTACTGAGTACATATATCCAACAATCTGCTCATTGTGTATGCAGTTATTTTAAACAGTTTGTATTTTGTCATTATTAATCGAGACCATGAATGATCAGTCTTTGTTATCATACATGTGCATTCTGATCTGGTTGCATATTTGGCAACATACGCCGATAAGCTAAAGGTCTACATATAAACAATAAGAAAGTACAATTCTTTGAGAACATCTAAGAAGTCACAGTTTGGAAGTGAGTAGTTAAACCCTAGTGTCCAGACAATTCACGAAATAAAATATACTGTTTTTAAGGTGACTATTTTTTTTTTAAAAATAAATCTGAATTTTCGAATGAACTGAGTGTAAAGTACTAACTGGTAATTTTCACTGTTGCAAACTTGGTCAATACGAATGTCTAGCGAATTCTAACTGAGTAGTTTACTACAAAACAACCGTTTATAAATAGAAATTCATTTCAACGTCTCATTCAGATATGTATGGATCATTTATGGGGCATTAGCAAATTCAAGTTTTTTGGTACAAGATATCTCTTGACTTTTATTAATAAATATTACTATACTACTAGTAGTTTGAGTAGCTCGACTTCAGATTGTACGTTACCGTATTAAATAACTGGTCGATACAGTTCGGTTATCACTAAGTAGAGCTTACACGACATTATACTGATTAACCTTTAGAGGTCATATGATGTATTTTAGTATAAAAGGTTATTTAACATCGAAATAACTATAGTCACGTTTTTGGATGTTTTACTGAACGATGACCATTCCACGCATTATTGACATTTCATAAATGGTTTATTAATATATTTCGTTTATCATGGAGACCATGGTGAATAGTATTTCATGCCAACTTCTATCAATCATAGACATAAAAGGCTGACTATAGGAGAAATTAGGTTTATGCATAGTTTTTTTAATAAGTTTATTTTTTTGTAGTGAGATGATCGCTTGTTAATATTCCTTCATACAGTGATAAATACAATAAGTTTGATAGAGGGGAGAATTCTCCTCATTTTAAAATTAGAATCGCAGCCTAATACTACTACCAAGTAGTTTAAATTAATTCATAAAACCATCCCATTCAATTAATTTGGGCCAATCAGTCAAGTACGTGACATATATCCTTGTAAATAATACCTCAATGTCATGTCCAATGTTAGTATCAATTGAAAAAAAGGACATAATTAATAGCTCTGAAACTTATTTGGACGTAAGAAGCCTATTTCTTAATACGCTGAACTGTTCAAACTAATGGACTACTTTTTCATCAAACGCGTATTTGTTTCCATAAATTCCTCTATT